TTGGCCTAACTAGCGAAACCAGAAAGTTGTTCAGTCACGGCAGCAGTTCTGTCCATATGTATACCAACACAAAATAACCAGTTCAGTTTTCCTGATATGTAATCATTCAAAGACTTGAATAGTTCTGTGGCTGGGGTGTTGATTGGCAACAAAAGTGCACATAACATATCCTCATTCACTTCCTGGAACCTGGAGTGTTAGGTCCATGAATCAAGGTAAATTGGAAGTGGTCAAACAGGAGATGGCAAGAGTAAACATTGACATTTTAGAAGAATCCGTGAACTAAAATGGACTGGAATAGGTGAATTTAATTCAGATGACCATTGTATCTGCTACTGTGGGCAAGAACCTCTTAGAAGAAATGGAGTAGCCCTCATAGTCAACAGAGGAGTCCTAAATGCAGTACTTGGGTGCAGTCTCAAAAACGACAGAATGATCTCTGTTCATTTCCAAGACAAAACATTCAGTATCACAGTAATCCAAGTCTGTGCCCCAACCACTAATGCCGAGGAAGCTGAAGTTGAATGGTTCTATGAAGACCGACAAGACCTTCTAGAACTAACACCAAAAAAATGATGTCCTTTTCATCACAGGGGACTGAAATGCAGAAGTAAGAAGTCAAGAGATGCCTGGAGTAACAGGAAAGTTTGGCCTTAGAGTACAAAATGAAGCAGGGCAAAGGCTAACAAAGAATTTTGTCAAGAGAATGCACTGGTTATAGCAAACATCCTTTTCCAAAAACACGAGACAACTCTATGCAGGGATATCACCAGATGGTTAATATGGAAATCAGATTGATTATATTCATGTGAAATACTGGGCTGGATGAAGCACAAGCTGGAATCAAGATCACCAGGAGAAATATCAATAACCTCAGATATGCAGATATGCTATCCTTATGGCAGAAAGTGAAGAGGAACTAAAGAGCTTCTTGATGAAGGTGAAAGAGGAGAGTGAAAAAGCTGGCTTAAAACTCAACATTCAAAAAATGAAAATCATGGCATCTGGTCCCATCACTTGATGGCAAACAGATGGGGAAACAGTGAGACTTTATTTTCTTGGGCTTCAAAATCACTGCAGATGGTGACTGCAGCCATGAAATTAAGACACTTGCTCCTTGGAAGAAAAGCTATGACCACCCTAGACAGCATATTAAAAAGCAGAGACATTACTTTGCCAACAAAGGTCCATATAGTCAAAGCTATGGTTTTTCTGGTTGTTATGTATGGATGTGAGAGTTGGACCATAGAGAAGGCTGAGCGCCGAAGAATTGATGCTTTTCAACTGTTGTGTTGGAGAAGACTCTTGAGAGTCCCTTGGACTGCAAGGAAATCAAACCAGTCAATCCTGCATATTCATTGGAAGGACTGATGCTGAAGCTCCAATACTTTGGCCACCTGATGCAAAGAGCCAGCTCTTTAGAAAAAACCCTGATGCTGGGAAAGATTGAAGTCAGGAGAAAAAGGGGACAACAGACGAGATGGTTGAATGGCATCACAGACTCAGTGGACATGAGTTTGAGCAAGCTCCAGGAGATGGTGAAGTACAGGAAGCATGGCATGCTGCAGTCCATGGGGTCACAAAGAGTCAGGCACGACTGAGCAACTGAATAACATGACACTTCCTCCTGACAAATATATCTCACAAAGGCAAGTATTTTTGCCTGTTGTCAACATTGGTAGACTAGTCAACCTGAATTGTGTACCACAGTGACTCATTAATCCTAAGAGCTGCACCTCAGTATCCTCTGCTATTTCATCAATTTGTCTAGTTATGGTGTTAGCTGAAAGAAGAACATGTTGCCACCTTTTGAACTGCAGCATTTAAGTTACCCGACAAATTTAAAACAGCAATCATAGAAATGCTTCAGTGAACAAATTGTGAACACACTTGAAAGAGATGAAAAAAAAGTAGGAAATCTTAGCAAAGGGAGGGTATAAAGAACAAAATGAAATATTTTAACCGAAAAATACAGTAGCAGAAATAAGACTTGGTGGATATGCTCAGGAACACAGTGGAGAGGACAGAGGAAACCATCAGTGAACTTAAAGATGGAACAAGAGAAATTACCCAATATGAGCAAAAGAGAGGGAAAATATGCTGAGTCCTAGAAGGAAAGGAGAGAGTGTGAGTCTGAAGAGAAATGCAAAGAAATAATGGCAGAAAACTCCTCAAATTTGGCAATAAATATAAGCCTCCATATTCAAGAAACTGAGCAAATCCCAAACAGGATAAACCCAAAGAAATCTATAAGACACATGATAATCCAACTTCAGAAAACTAAAAACAAAACAAAAATTGAAAGCAGTGTGAGAAATGATCTATACCTACAGAGAAACAGTGACTTAAATAACATGTTTTTTTTTTATCAGAACACAGGACGTTCAGAAGGACGTAGCACATTTTTCAAGTGCTGAAGAAACTGTCAACCCAGAACTCTGTACCAGCAAAAAATATTCATGAATGAAAAGAAGGAAGACATGCTCAGATGATGGAAAACTGAGAATTTGTCAGGAGGTCTAAGAATTGTTCTTCAATATCAGGAGTGAGGAAAGGACAGAAAGTATACATATGGGTACATTTAATGTTGAGTTCCCAATTATGTTAGATGGTTTAATAAAAAATGGCTACACTATTTTATGTAGTTCTTAAGGAATATAGAGGAAATATTTATGATAACACACAATGAAATGGGGGAAATAAGGTTTTGAACTGGTTCAGTGTTAATGAAACTAGACTGTGATAAGTCATGTATGTATAAAGTAATACCTAGAAATTCTAAACTACTAAAAAGTTAACACAAAGAAATGTACTTAAGAACTCTGTAGACCAAAGTAGAACAAATTATTGTACCTGCAACAAGTGGAATTGATCTAAAAAGAATTATGTTGAGTGAAAAAAGCCAACCTTAAAAGTTTCCATAGTAATTAGGTAGGTAAATATAAATATTAAAGGTAATACAGTGATTTCACTTATAGAACACTCCTGGTATTGTGAAATTATGGAGAATAGTGTTTGGCAGGGATTAGGAGTGGGGTGCAAGGGGAGGAAAGAAGGTATGACTACAAAGGGATAGAATAAGTGATATTTGTGGTGTTTCAAGTTCTATATTTTGAGTGTAGTGGTCATTACAAAAATTTACACTAGATAAAATTGTATGTAACAAGAGACACACAAATGCATGCAAAATCAGTGAAATCTGATAAGGTCTATGAATCAAATTAGTGTCAAATTTGATATGTAACCATATATATATGTGTATATACATATATATATATATATATGACTATAGGTCATGTAAAATGTTAACATTAGGGGAATGCAGATATAGGGTACACACTAAAAGTCCTCTAGGGCAGTGGTCCCCAACCTTTTTGGCACCAGAGACTAGTTTCACGGAAGACAATTTTTCCATGGGCCAGAGGTGGGGTGGGTGGTGGGGAAAGATGGTTTGGGGATGATTCAAACACATTACATTATCATACACTTTATTTCTATTATTGTATCCTCTCCACCTTAGATCATCAGGTATTAGATCCCAAAGGTTGGGGACCCCTGCTTTAGGGTATTATTTCTTCAACTTATATAAATCTGTAATAATTTCTAAATAAAAGTCTTTTCGGAAGTTCCAGTAGAAAAAGACAAAATATATGAACTATTCAGAGACATTATTTTGGACTCCAAAGTCACGGCAGATGGTGACTGGAGTCATGAAATTAAAAGCCATGAAATTTCTTCTTCTTGGAAGAAAAGCTATGACCAACCTAGATGGCATATTAAAAAGCAAAGACATTACTCTGCCAACAAAGGCCCATCTAGCCAAAGCTGTGGTTTTTCCAGTAGTCATGTATGGATGCGAGTTGGACTATAAAGAAAGCTGCGTACTGAAGAATTGATGCTTTTGAACTGTGGTGTTGGAGAAGAATCTTGAGAGTCCCTTGGACTGCAAGATCAAACCAGTCAATCCTAAAGGAAATCAGTCCTGAATATTCATTTGAAGGACTGATGCTAAAGCTACCAATACTTTGTCCACCTGATGTGATGAACTGACTCACTGGAAAAGACCCTGATGCTGGGGAAGACTGAAGGCAGGAGAAGGGGATGACAGAGGATGAGATGGTTGGATGGCATCACCAACTTGATGGACATGAGTTTGAGCAAGCTCCAGGAGTTGGTGATGGACAGGGAAGCCTGGTGTGCTGCAGTCCATGGGGTCGTAAAGAGTCGGACATGACTGAGTGACTGAACTGAATTGACTCAGAGGAAAGACGTTTCAGTACTATAAATATTTGAGTTCATTTGTGGCAGAAGCCAGCACAATATTGTAAAGCAATTATCTGCCAATAAAAAATTAGAAAAAAATTGAAAGGCATTAATCTAAAACAGGTGTGGTATAGGAGGAAGTGAACTTTCACATTCACTGAGCTCTTACCTGACACATAAAAATAACCACAATTAGAATTCCCATTTAAAAATTCAGAAGCCAAAGAAAGATTTGTTGAAATACTTTGAAACTTCTTCTGTCCCAATATGAGTAACCATCCTTGTCTTGATATGTTACGACATTAACATTTTACATTATGCATGAGTGGTCTTTCCCCTAGTTTGAAACCAACCCAAATGCAGGTGATCTTTTTTCCCCAAATGTATCCCAACAACTGAATATTTGTTTCTTCACTGGTTTCAAATAGGAACTCATGTTTAAAATAAAAAATGAAAAAAATTTAAAGCTCTCTTCAAACAGATGCTATGTACTTCTGATTTGTATATGCTAATTAACAGGTGGTAAGCAAAATATCTTAATTCAGGTTTGGCTTATGTATTATTATTAAAGATAACTTTCTATAAATGTTATATCTGATAAAAAATAAGAATCCATATAGGTCCAGGTTTTCTCTATCCACTTCATTCTTATTTTAGAGAAACAGGAAAATACAGACAAGAAATAATAATTAAAAAAACTACAACATAATTTTGACAACCAGATTCATTATTAGTCATATTTGCTTTGTCTTTTATTAAAGAAATATTGCTGATAAATATAACAACTGCCTTCACTTCCTAAAAGGCAGTCAATGTCATATATGTATCCATGATCAACACACAGTACTGTTCTTTGCATTGTTTTATTAAATTTATAGAAATGTTCATGGTACATTTTGCTTTTTCTGTCAATATTATGTAGTCTATCCATGTAATTATATGTCAAATTTGTATTTTTAAATATTATGTTCTATCATAGAAAATCATATTGTATCACTCTATCCCTCTATTAATGAAAATGTATGTATTCTATTTAGAGGAATACAAACCATGTCCAGTTAACATAAAGATATATGTATCTCTGTGACATATGTGGGTGCCTCTGAAGCCAATGCACCAAAAGAGAACTGAATGTTCCACATTTATGTATGTTTAAAGAAATCCTGTTACTCTATAGTAGTAAATATAGTCTATTTTATTTTCATCATATAGAATTTTGCTTTTTATGTTCTAGTCTTCAGTCTGTTTGGATTTTATTTTTGTATATGATAAAAAGTAGAGAGCTAACATTTTTTGTTAATATGAATCTTCCATTTATTGAATAGGTCATTTTCTCTCCAGTGATTTGAATAGCACAATAATACACAAAATTTCCATATCTCCTTCCTCCAATCTTCAACTTGTTTCACTGATCTACTCATTAAGAACATCGCTTAAAAACAATGATACCAGCTTTAAATAAATGTGATATCTAATGGTGTATCTTCTTTTTTTTTTTACATATTTCACCTATTTGTGGCCCTTTACATTCCTATATAAAATTTCAATCAGTTTGTGAAATTCTTAAAAACTGGTAAAAAAAAAAAAAAACAAAACTTTGAGTGGAAGTACTTTAGAGATTTGTGAGAAATTATATATATATATGTTTTTTTAGACAATGTTATTTTTCTCAAAATTTCAGGTGTTCTTTTGTAACCTTCAAAATGTTTAACTACATATATATGTGTTGTAATTCACTATTATGTTTATTCATAAATATTTTATATCAACATATCTTCTAATTAACTATTCTAGTATAAAAAGGTTATTTTAAAAGTATTTCTTTTTTCTGCAATGGCTAGGAGCTCAAGTATCATGTTGACAAGCTTATAGCAAATATCTTGTTTCAGATTTTAGTGAGAATGCTGAATAAATATCATTAGGTAAGATGTCTGCTGAAGGTTTTTGATGATCAGCTTTCTCATACATTTTATCCCCTTGGTAAGAATTCTGTATCACAAATGTGTGGCTTCTTAAAAAGGCTTTCCCACATTCACAGTTTTCTGCTCTAGATCCCATTATATAATGTGCAAGAAAATGCAAATTCCTTCTGAAGTCTTTTTCCATATTCACAAGATTTGTAAAGTTTCTATTTCTAATAAGTATGAATTCTCTGGTGTCTAACAAGGTGTGACTTTTGGCTGAAGGCCTTACCACACTCATTACAATGATAAGGCTTCTCACCTGTATGTTTTCTCATGTGAAGTGTAAGAGATGAGATTTGGGAAAAGGCTTTTCCACATTTACTACAGTCAAAGGGTTTCTCACCTGTATGACCTCGTATATGTATTGTAAGGGAGGAACTTTGGGAGAAGGCTTTTCCACATTTGTTACATTCATAAGGTTTCTCACCTGTATGACCTCTCATGTGTACAATAAGGGAAGTTCTTTGAGAGAAAGCTTTTCCACATTCATTACATACATAGGGTTTCTCACCTGTATGACTTCTCATATGTAAATTAAGTAGTGAGCACTGAGAGAAGGCTTTCCCACATTTATCACATTCATAAGGCTTTTCCCCTGTGTGACTTCTCAGATGAAGAGTAAGGGAAGCAATTTGAGAGAAGGCTTTACCACATTCATTACAGTCATAAGGTTTCTCTCCAGTGTGAACTTTTTGATGTGTAATAAAGTTTTGCTTTTGGCTGAAGGCCTTCCCACATTCATTACATTCATAGGGTTTCTCTCCAGAATGAATTTTTTCATGAGCAATGAGATTTGATTTCTGGCTAAAGGCTTTGCCACATTCCTTACATATATAGGGTTTTTCTCCAGTGTGAATCCTCTGGTGTCTAACAAGATTTGACATCTGAATGAAAGCTTTCCCACATTCATTACATTCATAAGGTTTCTCTCTAGTATGAATCTTTTGGTGTGTAATGAAGTTCTTCTTGTGGCTGAAGGCTTTTCTACATTCCTTACATTCATAAGGTTTCTCACCAGTATGACTTCTCATATGTACAGTAAGGGCTGAGCTTTGAGAGAAAGATTTTCCACATTCATTACATTCATAGGGTTTCTCACCTGTATGAATTCTCACATGTATAATAAGCATGGAAAACTGAGAGAAGGCTTTTCCACATTTATCACATTTATAAGGTTTCTCTCCTGTATGACTTCTCATATGAAGAGCAAGAGATGCTATTCGTGGGAAGGCTTTACCACATTCATTACATGCATAAGGTTTCTCCCCAGTATGAACTTTCTGATGTGCAATGAGGCTTTGCTTCTGGCTGAATGCTTTTCCACACTCATGACATTCGTAAGGTTTCTCTCCAGTATGAATTTTTTCATGATCAATTAGATTTGATTTCTGGCTGAAGGATTTCCCACACTCCTTACATGCATAGGGTTTCTCTCCAGTATGGATTCGTTGATGTCTAATGAGATTTGACATTTTAATGAAAGCTTTCCCACATTCATTACATTCATAAGATTGCTCCCTACTGTGAATTTTATGATGTTTAATCAGTTTTTCCTTGTGACTGAAGGCTTTTCTACATTTTTTACATTCATAGGGCTTCTCTCCAGTATGAATTCTCAAGTGTCTGATGAGGTCCAAAGTTTGATCAAAACCTTTTCCACAATGATTACACTTAAAGGGGGTTACTACAAGATGGGACAAGCTATTGCCAAATGATTTCATAGGCTCCTTATATTCACAGTCTTCTCTTCCTATAAAGATTCTCTCATAATAGTTGAAATTATTATGTTCTAAACACTTTCCAAATAAGTCATATTCATAGACACTGTGACTGGAAGGAAAAAAGTCTGAGTTCAGAGGAAATGCATTTGCAAATTTCTTATGACATTCACTGACTTTTTCTTCAGTCAGTGTTTTTGTGAATTTATCTTCAAGTTGTGTCAAAAGCCTGTCCTGAATTTTCAGCTGCTCATCCATCCCCCATATTTCTCCTAAAAGAAATTGCAAATAAATGTCACTTGTAAAATTTCCCAAGATTATACCTAATTAAAAACAAAAAAAAAATACATGTATGGGATTCTTAGCTTATAGCCTCATTTCCTATTAAGCAAATTCTAGGTTTATATATAGCTCCTATTTCCTAAGCTTCAGTAAATCCCAAGAAAGGAAATATGAGTAGAGGCAGGTATTTATGAAATAGAAATAGCTTTGATTGCTTAAAGGGATCTGAAAAAATATAAAACTGTTGGATAAATAAGAGGGGGAATTCAGAATATACAAATGAAGAAACATCAATAGAGAAAAAGGTAAAACAGGAAGCTAAAAAACCATAAAAGTATTTTACAAGATTCTATGGAAATAAACTTTCACAAATGGCTTGACAGAAATAATTTCTGGAAAATATAAATTACCTAAACTCACTCTATAAGATGTAGAAAAAAAAAAGACCAATTTCCACAAATAAATTTATGAAAAGAAATCCCCCCAAACAAAACAAATAGACAAGGCCCATAGATGTTTACATGGGAATTTAAACAACTATCTAAAGGACAGCTGTTAAGCATGTGCTATACAAAATATTATGAAAGAAAAATATTTCATAATGTTTGTGTATGAGACAAACATAATACCAATACCAAATAAAGATGACAACCCAAAAAGCAAACTATACATCAATTTCATTTTTGAATATCAGTGTGAAACTCTGTATTCAAAATGACTGAGAAGGAAAAGAAAGGGACTCGGAAGCATATTAAATATAAGACATACATATGTTGCTTTTTTCCATGAATAGAAGTATGTTTCAATATTAGAGAAATCTATAAGTAAATAATAGTAACAGTAAATAGGTCAAAAGTGAAAAGTCAAGTAATCATTTCCAAAGATATTAAAAACATGTTAAAAATTCAACACCCATTTTTCCATAAAGATAACTTTATAAAATGGAAACATATTTAACTAGAGAAAAATCACAGTACAACTTAAACCTTCGTACCATTCCTAATGGGAAAAATCTCAAAGCAGTCACATTAAAATCAGGAAAAAGAAAAAGATGAGTACTATCACAACTATTATTATAGTTCAGGGTAGAGCACTGAATACGAGAAAGAAATGAGGTATAAAAAACTTGGAAAGGGTGACTTTTCTAGCAGTCCAGTGGTTGAGACTGCTCTCCCAATGAAGGGGGCATGCGTTTGATCCCTGGTTGGGGAACTAGGGACCCATGTGCTGCACAGCATGGGTCACCCTCCCGCACACACAGAAACAACTTAGAAAGGAAAAATTTACATTATTTGTCAATATTAAAACTCTTTCTTTGCAAAATCAAGAGTTACCTGAAAAATTATAGAAAGTTCACTAAGTTCACTATAGCAAATTAATACCCAGTTTTAGTTAACTTTCATATATACAAAAAGCTATTTAGAAAAGATAACAAAGGACTACATTTATAATAAAAATACAAAAAATTTGGGAATATATTTAATTAGAAAGTTCCAAAAATTGTAAAACTTTAAATGCACACACATGAACACATGAAACAGTGTTATGGATTTGAGTTGTGTGTCCCACCTTTAAAATATGTTTAAGTCCGGGGGAAGGGGCAGCAGGCACCATGTTTGGCCACAAAGGTTGCAAGAAGAAGCCCCTGAAGCAGCCCAAGAAGCAAGCCAAAGAGATGAACGAGGAAGATAAAGCATTCAAGCCGAAGCAGAAGGAAGAGCAGAAGAAACTCGAGGAGCTAAAAGCAAAGGCCGCGGGGAAAGGCCCCCTGGCCACTGGTGGAATTAAGAAATCTGGCAAAAAAGTAAGCTGTTCTTTGTGCCTGAGGCAATGATGACCCTGAGTTCCATTCCTGTTTAAACACCTGGATTCCCTGCCATGATATCTATTGCCGCCTATAGCTAGAATGAAGTGTTGTCCGAACCTATGGTACATTTAAGAATAAACTTTTGTAAAAAAAATAAAATAAAATATGTTTAAGTCCTAATGCCCACTACCTCAGAACATGAAATTATTTGAAAATAAGGTCACTGCAGATGTAATTAGTTAAGGTGAGGTCACACTGGAGTAGGGTAAGCCCCTAATCTGATTGGTTTTCTTAAAAGAAGATTGCCACATGAAGAGACAAACACAGGGAAACACTATGTGACATTAAAGACACAGATTGGAGTTATGCTGTCATAAGCCAAGGAACATCTGGGGATAAAAGAAGCTGAAAGATGCAAGGAGTCTTCTGTAGGCTTCAGTAGGAACATGAGCCCTACTTACACCCTGATTTTGTATTTCTAGCCTCTACTTTGTTACAGCAGCCCTACGAAACTTAGACAAAAGGCATATCACATTCTTGGAAAAGAACATTCAACAGCAGATATCATAGTTATTCACGAGTTAACCTATCAACTTAAAGTGGTTTCAATAAAAATGCTTGAAAATACAAATAAGTAATAGCTCAAAGGAAAATGATACTACAGGTTGCCAGCATAGAGGAAGGCATGGGTAAGAGAAGAAAAATTAGTTTTCAATATGTATCCTTTTGTATTTTAAAAAATCTGTATTGTAAGCATGTACTACATATTTTTTAAAAATTCACCTGAACACTACAGTAATTAATAAAATGAGAGCAAACAACAGGAAGGTTAAAATAGGATAAAAGAATCAGAATATAAAAGCAGAAAAACCTACCTAGCATGACTGAAAAGGGAGTAAGTACTGAGCAAAAGGGGGCTTTCCCAGGTGGCTGAGTGGTAAAGAATCTGCCTGCCAGTGCAAGAGGCACAGGTTAGATTCCTGGGTCACGAAGATCACCTGGAGAAGGAAATGGCAGCCCACTCCAGCATGCTTGCCTGGGAAATCCCATGGACAGAGGAGCCTAGCAGGCTATAGTACATGGGGTTGCAACAGAGTCGGACATGACTTAGCAACTAAACAACTGAACAAAAGGGAAAACAAATAATGAGAAATTAAATATGGCCTAATTGACATATGAATTTATCTCGGATCCTACCCAAAACCACATGAAAATGAGGCAAAGAATAAAAAAGGTATAAACTAATGAAGACAAAGACTACTCTTCCATTCTAGAGAATATGTGAGGTTACTCTCATGAGAAAGATAAGCAGAAGAGCTCTACATCAAGGATGTTAGGGGACGTTTAACTTTAAGGAATCCAATATGTTGCATTTTTCTTCCTTTGTGTGCCATTTCTCAAGGATTCTCTGTTCCTTATCAGTTCCTATTCCGGGAACGAGTAGAGCTGCACGCCGCTCTCAGGACTGAGATCATGAGAAATGGTATTTGCTTGGATTCCTTTCAGTAACTCCCTTCAGTGACTCTTTTCACATGGGTCCCCGTGTCTTTCTTTCTTTCTCTTTCTCCCTCCCTCCCTCCCTCCCTCCGGCTCTCTCTTTCACTTTCTATCGACTCCAGACTAGCAGGTTCCAGACTAGCAGGTTCCGGTCAATTAAAGGACCCCAACACACCAGGCAGAGGAATTCAGAGATAAGGAACTGGCTCAAACAGAATAAATGAAAATCTACATACCAAAGGGTAAGATTTCCAGTACTCAGTGGCTGCTTAGCTCAAAAATGGGGAGGAAAAAATAATCTCCATTTTCCTCTCTGCCAGACGAAGAATAAAGGAAATGAAAGATTCTTGTGAAAGCAGGTAGTTAAGAGACTTGGTAGAAAACAATATACTGAGCTTAAGCTTTTGAGTCACCTCAGTTTAGGGAAACAGAAAAGCTCAATTAAACAAAAGGGGTTGAGGGAGAAGGCAAGATCAGGTCTTTAAGGTACTGTCCAAGTAGAAGTGACGAAGTCCAGGACCAAGATCAAAATACCAAATGTGACAGAAAAGACTCCGTTTTTAAGATGGTAGAATGAAAAACTATCTGATCACTTTTCCTGTACACAAACAAGAATTGAAACGTCGATGCTTCAGTGATCCTAGGTGGTGGCTATAACCCTAATTATAATGAGTTAATGTTGACAAATACAGTGAAGGGTGGGACAGGGGAAAAAGGATTCTGAGAAGACAACTGTTCATGCCGATTGTGCGCAGCACAAACAGCTGACACTGTCAAAATGGACATCCCACCTTCAAGGGAAGAATTAATTAACCCATGTTTACAACATGGAAATTTGGGAGTGCAGACTGATTACAGGAGACTTGACATCCCTAACTATGTCAAGGAAACCAGGACTGAGCAAGGAAACACTGTGAAATACTATCTTTTTAGGAAGAAGTCTTGGAGTGACAGTATAAGATTCAGAGTTATGAGACTTGTAGCCACAGTTCCTTTTTGGATGAGAAGAAATAAAGCCTAAACATACTTATATTCACACAACCATGCAGAATAAAAGGCTTTAGTATGAAGCACAGACATATTCCTATACATCAAGAGTTGGCAAACTTTTTCTTAAATAAGGTTAGATTGCAAATATTTTAGGCTTCATGGGTCATATGGGCTTCCCTGGTAGCTCAGATGGTAGAGTCTGCCTTCAGTGTGGGAGACGGGTTTGATCCCTGGGTCAGGAAGATCCCCTAGAGAAGGAACTGGCAACCCACTTCAGTATTCTTGCCTGGAAAATCCCACAGATGTAGGAGGAGCCTGGCAGGCTACAGTCCATGGGGTTGCAAAGAGTCAGACATGACTAAGTGACTTCATTTTCTTTCTTTCACTTTCATGGGTCATATAGTTTTTGACATGACTATTCAACCTTGCTTCTGTAATAGGAAAGTATTAACAGTCAAGATATAAATGACTTGGTATGAATTTATTCCAATAAAACTTTATTTACAAAAACAAGTGGCTGGTCAACAGGTTTGTGCTCTAAATCTGAGAACTTTCTACCTCAGAAAAGAAAGTTTGCAGTTTTGTTTGCAGATTTGTGCTCTAGATCTGAGAACTGTCTTTCCTTTCCTAACATACTTCTTTAAAAATCAGGTCAAGAAAGAACTATTCTCACTCAAAAATGAGAAGATATTGAAATCAGATCTCTTAAAAAATGTAAGAGAAAAGAAAAAAGAAACATGCTATAAAGAAAGCAGCCAAAAATTCAAGCTAAAGCAATTATGACGTACAGAATGAAAATCTTGACTGACTATTGCCATCAATGAAAAAACTTAGTGAAAATACCAGGTATAAATCAAGAGCTAGAAATATAGAAAGATATTTATAGAAATATAAATGCATGAGGAAGAAACAATGAAAAAACAAAAAGGGCTAAAAAAAGATTAACCAGCGGAACCAAGAAAGAAATAAAGAGAAAAATAAAACTACCCAAAACAAAATACACCATGCAAGATGGGGGAATAAAAGAGACAGACTACATAAGGATTTTTAACATTGAAATTACAATAGGGTAACCTCATTTGCAAAACTAGACAGTGGATAAAACTGAAATTTTGAAGCATTACTGGGCTTACAGGAAGTAGCCTAAATCTCCAAGAACACTGCAGTATTCTCCAACAACCTGAGCACTATACACACACACAAAATGAACAAAACAAAACCAAGTATTAGCCAAAACCACGACTGAGAGGTAGCAGAACTGAAAGCAGCCTGAAGATGGATCTGACGTGAGTACCTATGAAAAGCCTTATTAAGTAAAGTATAAGGCTCTTGCTATCAATAAAGAAGAAAAGTTCAACTGAGGTTCCTACCAAAAGCCAGGACCTTCAAAGAACTGATCCTCACTTGGAGACGCCTCTTGGTGCCCACCAGAAGCACATGTAAATCATCTTCAGAAGGAAGCAACCCAATTTAGGACAGGAAGATTATCATAAGTTAAGATTTTAAAAAACTCAAATTGGAATCAGCTACCATCAAGCACATGAAGAATCAAAACACACTGAGTCCTCAAAAACAGGACATTTAAACCTGAGGACTTAAAATACTGGAACTGTGAGGGACAGAATACAAAAGAGCTATGTACAGTATTTTTAAAGAAGCAAAAATTAAAACACAAATCTGAAGAAGCCACAGAAATTATTAGGAAGAATCAGAAAGATGTGAGAAATTTTTGCAAAAACAAAAGAAATTTCTAAAAATACTAAATACTTATACTAAAAGTTTTTTTCAAAGGTGGATGAGTTAAGCTTCTCTGGTGGCTCAGTGGTAAAGAATCCACCTGCCAGTGCAGGAGACATGGATTCAATCCCTAGTCCAGGAAGATCCCACATGCTGCAGAGCAAATAAAACTGTGTGGCACAATACTAATAAGCCCAAGCTCTAGAGCACCAGAGCCACAACTACTGAGCCCACGTGCCTCAACTACTTAAGCCTGTGCACTTAGAACCTGTTCTCTGCAACAAGAGAAGCCACTGCAATAAGAAACCTGTGCGCCACAACTAGAGAGTAGCCCCTGCTCGCTACAAATAGAGAAAGCCCATGCATAGCAACAAAGAACCAGCAAAGCCAAAAATAAATAATTTTTTTTTAAAAGGTGGATGAGTTAAAAATAAACACAATTGAAGAGAGAATTAGTAAACTGGAAGATACATTTAAAGTAATTACTGAGAAAGCAACAGAGAGCTACAAAGGAAGAAAATAGGAGATTTAAAAATATGGAGGAAAAAATAAAAAGGTCTAGGATCTATCTGAGTTTCAGTAGTAGAGTGTTAAGACAATGAATGAGAGCTAATATTTGATGATGCTGAGAATGCTGCAGAATTAATGGAAGACATAAATAAGAAGATAACACAATGAGTAATTTTATACAGATTGTGAAGAATGTGAAGGAAAGCTTCTAAATCTTATGAAACCAGTGTACCACTGACTTCAAAGCGTGACAGAGTTAGGATATTTAAGTTCAAAGCAAAAATGTGAATTTTAAAAAAAAAGTTTCAAAAATGACATCTTACATATATAAAAAATTCACACCAATCGTCAGTATGGAATTCTATGGCCTTAAAAAAAAATACCTTGGTGGAATATTTCAGAGGGATCAAGAACTTACATATTAGCTATTAAGGGGCCTTGGCCCTTCCTCACCTGTATGGTTCCCTCTCACTAACCTGGACAGTGTTTCTTTAACACTTCTTCCTCCATGACCCATGGTTCTTCTTCTTGCTCCAACTTGAAAATCACATCAGGTTTGGTGAATGGACATCCTGTCAAAGGGAAGGGATGTAAGATTTGGGCATAAATAGTAGGAAAAAAGAATCATTCAAGAATTGAGGCTAGCTGAAGGTTTTCTGAAGGATAAGAAAAGCATTGTTTCTAGGGATGCTGCCCCCTGAAACATAACCATAGATGACATGACATTTTGCTTTGAAAGCTGCAGCATGCATGTGCATGTGAGCAAAGGCATTTAAAGACCAAACTCAGTCTAACATTTGAAGATTCCACACATTTCAGAAACACTGTGGCAGGGAAAAAAGGAACTTTACTCCCAGAATTTGAGTTTTATAGGAAAATACCCTTACCCACTGTGATTAAGTTGTTATAGTTTTCTAACATCACATTCCGGTACAGGTTCCTTTGAGCTGGATCCAATTGCTGCCACTCTTCCTGAGTGAAATCAATAGCCACATCTTTGAATGTCACCGTGTCCTGTAACAACATACTCCCACTCAATCTGAAGTCATCCATCTTATATGTTGTGGACAAAATATATTGAAACTTGTTCAGGTAATACACAAAGGTAAGAGATTATAAAATAAATTTTATCTGTTTTTGTTACTGTCTGAAAGAAAAAAATCATTTTAGCAATATCTTGTCAGTTTATGTTCATTCATTGATTCAGCAAGCACATATCTTTAATAACTACTTTGGGTTAAAGAGATCTTGGGTACTGATTTATACTGACTGTAAAAACTGGGGGAATATAAAACTTCACTCAAAGTTAACTGGTTTGGGAACTCACTAGATCCCTGTGATTCACTAACACATGAAAATAGGTTTTGGATAGAAGCAGAAAAGGGGAGAGAATGGTATACAAACTTTGAAGCATAGTAAGACATCCACTGGAGATATTCATTGATTTAGCAGTTGCACATATTGTTCATTAGGTCAGAAGAAATCTAAATTGAAAATGAATATTTATTGTTCACAAGCCTACGTGTCTGCAGCCATGAAAATTGCAGAGTTCACATATACTGAAAAAAGAGTGCCACAAACAGAATCCTACAAATACCAAAAGATATAGAAAGAAAGATTTGTTAATGAAGTTTAAGTGGATTTAAATTTTAGAATTAAAAAATTTTAAATATGAATTACAACCAGAACTATGAGAAAATAATACCAAGAAAGATTTAAAGTGTCAGAAATGAGGAATGGTGACAAATTTCTTCAAAGCAGTGTGATTTAGACATAGAAATCAAATGCACTTTTCCTAGTTAAAAACCAAAATACCCCAAAAATATAAAGGTAAGAAAAACAGCACTGGAACAAAGGGAGCTGTCCGTATTTCCTACACTTTCAGGAATTTCTGTGGCAGATGGGGTAAGATAAAAGGAAATCACCAGGAGCAAACTCACAAAAAATGTTTCTGATTATTAATTTCTAGGTCCTAAATGGACTCTAGGAACATGAACATTCACTAAGCTTCAGAGTATGCTGTGAGAATAATGGAAACTCCTGTTTTGGACCCCTTCCTACTGAAGAGCAAGGACTTGTAAATAATCAGGCTTAAGAAACCAAAGGCAATCATGGCTAAGTAAGACATCCCTCATTCAGTCCCTGCTGCAAAAACAATACTTTGGCATCCATCCATGGGTGAAAGTGCCCTTGTGGGAATGGTGGGATCCAGCACCACATGCAAGGGACACAGAAGGAGTCTTGCCTACCCAAATGTTGAAAAATAAGCATAAAAGACCTCAGTTCTTGCTGTAGATCCCTGAGAGGCATGTGAACTGACTCTAGCCTCTTTTGGCCACTTCAGGAGCCCCCAGAAAATGACTGTCTGAGACAAGCACTCAACAAAAGACAGACTTTGTGAAAGTGCAAGTCTCCAGCAAAGAATTTCCAGTGCACCAATGAAGCAAAAAATACAAGTCTGGACTCATCAGAAAGGGTAAGAGGAACAGTTTGACTTTTATCTACATCACTCCTCCATTAAGGCAACATAGCTTAGGGCCAAGAGAAATCCTGGCCCATGATTTCATTCACGAAGGAAAGTAAAAATGTGTGAGTACCCTGCTTTCTCAGCTATATGGGATGGTGCCAAAGAGGGTCATTTTTCTCTCATCATATCCAGCATACTGAATTTTGAGCTTTTGAAAAGTCTGAGAGAGCAGCAGATAACACTCTCAGAGGACATTACAGAGAAGCAGATAGTACTAACTGTGTTAAGGACACCATCAAGAAGAAATAGAGGAGTCTAATAAATAAAATGAAAGAGGGGGCAAGAGGGGGCATGTGATATCTGAAAGATACCACAGATACAATGACCATGAGAGACTATTATGAACAGTTATATGGTAACAAAGTGGATAACCTAGAACAAATGGATAAATTCCTAGAAACATACAACCTACCAAGATTGAACCATGAAATAGATCAGAACAGATATGAGTAAGGAGCTGAATCAGTAATTAAAATCTTTCAATAAAGAAAATCCTCCTCTCCCTCCAAAAAAGAAAAGCCAAAAACTAGATGGCTTCCCTGATGAGTTTTACCAATCATTTATAGATGAATAGATGCCAGTCTTTCTCAATCTTTCACACAAAAAAATAAGTTGCACTGAAGGGAACACGCTCAAGCTCATTTTACAAGACCAACATTACCCTGATACCAAAGGGAGATAGGACACTGCAAAGAAAAGAAAACTACAGGCCAGTGTCTCTAATGAATGTAGATGCAGAAATTTTCAACAAAATATAGGCAAAGTAAAGTCAACAGCATGTTAAAACACCATGATCAAGAAGGATTTAATTCGGGGATGCAAGGATAGTTCAACACATGCAAATCTATACATGTGATACATTAATAGAAAGAAATTATGTGATCATTTCAACAGAGGCAGAAAAAGCATTTGACAAAATACAATATCCTTTTGTGATACAAACTCTCAACAAATTGAGTATAGAAGGAATGTAGCTCAACATAAATCAGGCAATATATGATAAGCCAATAACTAACATCATACCCAATGGTAAAAGGTTGAAAATTTTTCCTTTAAGACCAGAACAAGACCAAGGTACTCTCATCAATCCTATTCAATGTAGTATGAGTAATCCTAACCAGAGCACTCAGGACAAGGGAAAAAAAAATACATCCAAATAGGAAAGCAAGATGAAAAGTCTTTTTAAGATGATATGATCTTATATACAGAAAATCCTAAAATCACCAACCAAAAACTGTTAGAACAAACCAAAAAATTCAGTAAAGTTGCAGGATACAAAATCAATAGACAGAAATCAGCTCTGTTTGTATACACTAACAAGAAAATATCTGAATAAGAAATAAAACCATCCCATTCACAATAGTGAGCAGGAGACATAAGAGATGCGAGTTCAATCCCTGGGTCAGGAAGATCCCCTGGAGGAGGAAATGCCAACCCACTCCAGTATTCTTGCCTGGAGAATCCCATGGACAGAGGAGCCTGATAGGCTACAGTCCATGGGGTCAGAAAGAGTCAAACATGACTTGACATGCACACATGCATGCATTCACAAAAGTATCAGAAACAGCAAAAATACTTAGCAATAAATTTAACCAAGGAGATGAAGGAAACTGAAGAGAATACGAATAAGTGAGAAGATATTCCACATTTGTGGATCAAAAGAATTAATATTGTTGGAGCTCCCCTGGTGGCTCCGTTGTAAAGAATCCGCCTGCCAATACAGGAGACATGGGTTCCGTCCCTGATCCAGGAAGATCCCACATGCCATGCCTCACAGTAACTAAACCCATGTGCCACAACTATTAAGCCTGTGCTCTAGAGCCCAGGAGCTGCAACTATTGAGCCCATGTGCCACAACTAATGAAGCCTGCACTCTCTAGAGCCTGTGCTCTGCAACAAGAGAAACCACTGCAATGAGAAGCCCACATACTGCAACTAGACAGTAGCCCCCACTTGCCGTAACTAGAGAAAAGCCCATGCAGCAATGAAGACCCAGCACAGCCAAAAATTGTTTCAGAAATTATTTTTAAAAAAAGTAAAAGAATAAATACTGACCACCTTACCTGCCTCCTGAGAAACCTGTATGCAGGTCAAAAAGCAACAGTTAGAATCAGACATGGAACAACGAACTATTTCAAAATTGGGGAAGGAGTACATCAAGGCTGTATATTGTCACCCTGCTTATTTAACTTATATGAAGAGTACATCATGTGAAATGCTGGGGTGGATGAAGCTCAAGTTGGAATCGAGATTGCCGGGAGAAATATCAATACCTCAGATACGCAAATGACACCACCTTTATGGTAGAAAGTAAACAGGCACTAAAGAGCCTCTTGATGAAAGTGAAAGAGGAGAGTGAAAAAGCTGGCTTAAAACTCAACATTCAAAAAATGAAGCTCAGGGCATCTGATCCCATCACTACATGCCAATAGATGGGAAAACAGTGGAAACAGTGACAGACTTTATTTTCTTGGGCTCCAAAATCACTGCAGACAGTGACTGGCAGCCATGAAATTAAAAGATGCTTGCTACTTGGAAGAAAAGCTATTGACCAACCTAGAGAGTGTATTAAAAAGCAGAGACCAAAAAGCAGATGAATGCATACAGAAGAGGTAATACATACATATACAATGCAATATTACTCTGCCATGAGAAAGATGGGATCCTGCAATTGGCAACCCCATGGATAGACATGTCAGGGCATGTCAGATGAAGAAAGAAAATACTATGATATCCCTTATATGTAGAATCTTGAAAAGTCTAAATTATAGAAGTAGAGAATAGAATGGTGGTTGCCAGGGGCTGAGAAGTGGGGGTAATGGGAAGATGCTCGTCAACACATAGAAAAATGAAATAGAGGAATCCTGGTTCCCTGTGCCTTAGAGATACAGGACAAGTGTTTTCATTTTGTTTTGTTTTGTTTAAGGTACCTAATTCCTACAAAGACAAAATTCTGTCCTGTTTAAGCAACTGTTATGTAAGATTTCTGTCAAACAGTCAATAACACTAGGTAAATCTATTAAGACAGATAAATGCTCATGCCAGAAAGAGAACTTTTCAAAGTGCTATTTTTGTGGCAGCCATGAAAATGTGCTCCTAGATCTCCTTCAGGAGAACCAGCTATGAGAAGCGTCATTGATAAACCATCTCCAGCTATTCTATCTTTAGTTCTACTACTGCATTCATGCTGAGACCATCCTATTCTCAAGCCACTACTGGCTATTTTTCCAGCTTAAGTATGGAAAAAAAAAAAGATTAACTATGGTTAGGGTATTAGGGCCTGAACCATGATCTTAAATTCTGTTTTTCTTGATCTAAGTTCCCTATGCTAATTTTAAAATTTCCATGTGGAAATGTTTTCTTTCTGAAGTTTTATTATTAACTTCCTATGTAATTGCATTGTGGAATATATACAGTTTGTACTTTGAAATTTATTGAATTTTATTTGGGCCTAATATATGGTCAGTCTTTTAGTTTTTCCATACCTAAAAAGGGGATATTAATTGTTTCCAGGCTATAAGCTATGACAATCAATTAGCTCTAACAAATTATTATTGGAAGTTATGTTCATTTTGTTGTCTATGTGTCTATCATGAGCTAAGGCAGATCAATAAAAGTTTCCTACTAATATGTTTCTTATTTTTCACAGTATTCCTTATAATAAATTTTATGCAGTTTGATGCAGGAGTAGTCCTAACCATTTATCTTTATTATCTAATGCACTAACTGGCATTTTATTTATTTATTTTTCTAACTGGCATTTTAAAGTAACATTCTTTTTGTTTGTTTAAAGCTTACTGTCTTGGATGAATGGATAGAAGATATGGTATATAGTCAATGGAATACTACTCATCCATAAAAAATAATAAAATAATGCCACTTGCACCACCATGGATGCAACTAGAGATTATCATACTAAGTCAGAAAGAGAAAGACAAATACCATATGATGTCATTTATACATGGAATCTAAAATATGGCATAAATGAACTTATCTACAAAATAGAAACAGACACACAGATAGAGAACAGACCAGTGGTTGTCAAGGGGTAGCAGGGGAGGAAGAGGGATGGACAAAAAGTTTGGGGATAGCAGATGCAAACTATTACACTTAGAATGGATAAACAACAAGGTCCTACTATATACAGCACAGGAAACTATATCCAATTTCCTGCAATAAACCATAATGGAAAAGAATATTTAAAAAATAATGTATATGAAGAAGGAAATGGCAACCCAATCCAGTATTCTTTCCTGGAAAATTCCGTGGACAGAGGAGCCTGGAGGGCTATAGTGTCCATGGGGTCGCAGAGTCAGACATGACTGTGCATGCACACACAGTGTCTCACGTATGGAGTTTTCATCCAAAGAGAACCTAGGACTTGGAGTTCCAAAAACTCATTAAGAAAATAAGAACATTTAAAAAAAGAATGTATATATGTGTATAACTGAGTCTACAGCATAAATAAGCACATTAAATCAACTATACTTCAATTAAAAAAATAAACCTTATATCTTGAATGTTGTATTACCTGACATTTAAAAATAGCCTTTATCTTTTTTAAAAAAAAAACCTGCATGATATGGCTTTCCTTAAACAATATTTAAAATTTCTCTGGATCAAAAGCTCCCATCTATAAAATGAAAATGTTGGAATAGATATTTTTTCTCTTTTAAGAGTTAATCATTCTCAATAGAAAAAGGAACAGTTAGGAAAATGATGAGATTCTTTCATGTATCCTGGATTTTATGACAGACTGTAAAAATAATCTTTTTTAACAGAAAATTTTGCTTTTCTCATTATCATGTTTATTTACTACTTAGAATCCAGTTAGCAGTGAAATAGCTCACTATTTTAGGTAACACATACATTATTTCAGGTAACATATACCTATTCCATATTAGGTTTGTGAGAAGTAACATAGTACTCAGCAGTTTTTGCCATTAACTTTCTTACCTTTCTTAATAACAACACTAACCCTCTTTTTCCAAAAATGGAACTGTAGCATATGTTTTGATTCATAACTCTTCTACAACACCTAGGTACAATGTATCAACAAGTTCATTTGATTCAGTCTCTGCAATACCACTGAAATCTCAGCTCTTCTATTTCTTCTATATGTTAAAGTAGTAGAACCAGAGAATTAAACAACTGAACCTTTTTTTTTTGTTTTTTTGATAGCTCAGAGACGATTTGAGGGCTTCACAGTAGTTGAGGTTTTCATTATGAATATTAACTGCCACTAAAGAGAATGAGAAAATAATTCACGTTTGAGCCCTAGAGTTATAGGTTTTTATTCAGTAAGTTACTGAGTTACTAGATATGCCCAGCACTGGTTTAGAGTCCAAGGATATAGCTGGAAGATAGACATAAGTTCTTGTCCTCCTGGAACTTACATACTAGTTGAGGGAAATAAATGAAAACATAAACAAATAGGAAAGAGAGATTCTTTTTTTTTTTTTTGGAAAGAGAGACTCTTTATGAAGACTATATAAGGTAATTCATGTAAAACTTTGATTAACAATAGATATTATTATTTACAGTTTATATTGGGCATTTCTTCTTTTCAATTGTGGATTTTTTTTCATGTCTTATATGCAATTTTCTACTGGATTTTAATTTAGTTTGTAAATATTTAAATACCAGATTTGGTTTGTCATATGTATTACTAAAATTGCTGTTAGGTTTTGCAAATTTACTTTATTTATGGTGATTGTATCAACAGAAGAATGTAATTTTTATGTACTCAAATTTAGTTGAGCTTCTGTTTTATTACCTATGAGTTTGACATTATATCAAAAAACAAGCTAGTGACCATAGAAAATACACTCAAGATGTTGTCTTGGAGTAACTAAGAACTCCCATACACTGTTAAGGGTATAATTTTGGACAACCACTTTGGAAAACTGTTTGGCAGTATCATTAAAAGGTAATCTTACACATAACTTATGACTCAGCAATTCTACTTTGGTAGAAAGAGATATGTACATATGTGCAAAAAAATCTAATAGAAAGTTTACAGGAACAATATTTTAATTGTTCCCAAATAAAAATTACCTAAAGCCAATCAATAATAGAATGGATATATAAAATTATGGTTTATTCATATAATTGAATAATATATAGTAATAAAGTTTAGTGAACTACAGCTTACTTGCAGCAATTCAACATAAATCTGACAAAATATTAAACAAAAGAAGTCAGGCACCAAGTACACAGGTTACATACAGTTTAAAAATATGCAGAAATAATCTATAGTGATATAAGCTAAACAGTGGTTACCCCTGGAGTAGGGGTAATAACTTTGAAAGATGCAGGAGTTCAATGGGTGTTAGGGTAATATTATATTTCTTGATCCAGTGCTTATACTGGCTACACATGTGTGTTCACTTTGAAAATTAACTGAGGGAAAAACTAGACATACAGAGAAGCTGTGAGATAGGGGCACCTGGTCAAAGAAAGGTATGTTGCAGTAAAGCAAAGCTTTGAGCTGAGAGTAAAAAGGCAGTAAATTGAAATATGTTTAGTAGCTAAGAGTACAGGAAAATCTGAAAGAGAAAGATTCCAAAGGAAGTTTGAAGAAAAAGGATGAAGTTCTGAGGAAATGTCCTTGAAGAGGAAACAGACACTGCTTACTCTAAGAGTAAAATGAAGAAATAAGGAACCATGGATTCATTACAACCACATTCACAAAAACCAGGTATACCAGGCATTGTTCTAGGGGCTGTAGATACAGCAGTAAACCAAGTAAAACTTATACTCTGTTCACATTCTAGTGGATTGAAAGTATAAGAATTTACCATAAATGATTACTTTAGATTGTGGCCAAATCACAGCAAACATACATGGAAAAAGATAATTATATAGGGTCATTTGAAAGGCACATCCCATCTATTTCTTCAGATAGTCTGTTTTTTATTTTTAAATGAGGTATGACATACATAGAATAATGTGGTAAAATGCACTAATCTTAAATGTACAAACTGAGACATTTTTATACATTTACGTATTTGTGTACCCATCAGTCAGGTCAAAATATAGAACATTTTCAGCATACTAGAAGATTCTCTCATATCCTGTCCCAGTAAATACCTGCTCAGTAACCACTATTCCCTAACACTGAGATTAGTTTTCTCAGTTTTCAAACTTCATATAAAAGGTACCACACAGAATGTACTCTCGTCTGGCTTCTTTCATGTCACATGTTTGTGAGATTATCCATATTGTTGTAAATTGCAGTAATCTGTTTTGGTGTGTGTGTGTACACTATCCCACTGCATGAAGAGAGAGAATGTGTGTGTGTGTGTACTATCCCACTGCATGAAATACTATCTCTTTTTCTGTTGATGTTGATTTGTGTTATTTCCAATGCTGGGATATTTTAACATATATTCTTTGCTTTATCCTTGATCAAAACAGACCACCTCCCTGGTGGTCTAGTGGTTAGGATTCAGCACTTTTACTGCTGTGGCCTGGGTTCAATCCCTGGTCAGGGAACTGAGATCCTGCAAGCCATGCAGCACAGCCAAAATTTTTTTTAAAATTATACAGAAAACCCCGGACTATCAGAAAAGCTGTTTCACCAACTACAGAAAGTCTCCCTATATATATTATATTGATTGACCTAGGTGCCAATGAAAAACTTACTTAAATATATAATGAATTTCTGCTCTTGTTTACCTATAGTAATGAAATTCAAAACTGAAGCCCAACTTTAATCTCTCTAAATGAATACAATTCGGCATAATCATATTTTAACTTTCCTGGTCTTAATCTTCCAACTCTGTTTCCTCTGAAAATACGTTTTATCTGTATAGGATTTTCCAGTTTAGTGTATGGATTACTACAATTCCCGTAAACTGCTCTGTAAAATAAAGCAGGGAACAAATATGCTATTTAAAATTTACCTGGAATTCATTCATTTCCTCTTCTTTCTGGGAATGGACTGGGCCTGAGAAGGCAGAGCTGAAAAAGAGAATAAAAGCCATGAGACAAGGTTTGCTTTGTGGTTTGAGAAACCTGTACCCACAAGGTAGATTAAAGGTCACTCTATAGCAAAATGATACTTGGAGCAATCAGAAAGGCCAAGAATATACATTCCCCAAAGATGCTGATAGGTATAAAGATGACTACTATATCATGGAGAGCTTAAGCATATTCGGTGAACAAGAATAGAGGTGTGTACGTAGGAGATGCCCCATGAACTTATCAATAGCTCTGTATCAGAGAAGGGGTTCCCAGGTGGCACTAGTGGTAAAGAACCTGCCTGCCAATCCAAGAGATATTAAGAGATTCAGGTTCGATCCCTGGATCAGTTCAGTCCCCTGGAGGAGGGCATGGCAATGTACTCCAATGTTCTTGCCTTGAGAATCTCATGGACAGAGGAAGCTGGCGGCCTATGGTCCACAGGGTCGCAAAGAGTTGGACATGACTGAAGCAACTTAGCATGCACGCATGCATACATACACAAGCATACTTTATATCAGCTACTACAATTATTGACTTAACTATTTACACAGAAAACAACAAATTCTTATATAGCTAACAATATTCCACATTTTCTAAAACAAGCATGGTGATAAAAAGAGGGATTGTCCTATTTTGAACATTTGGCAACTAAAGGGAAAAATATCCTTGTCTTTCCACCCTACTTCCTCTCGCATTTCAACTCAACCACTTTTCACCACCATAAGGAACTTCCATTCCTTCATTACACAATTTTTCATTTTCCCTCACCCTCTTCCCACCACTTTTCTACTTACCTGGCCTTGAATCCACGGTCAATTAGTATAATTAATTCTTGCTTAGACTCCCTTGCCCCTTTCTCTCACATCATTCTTTCTTCATGAAACCAACAACTCTGGTTAAATTTTACTCTCCTCTCCCCTATCCGTGGTGACAACCATGCATATGAACAGTGCAGGAGGAAAAAATCAAACAACCACGTGGAATAGGCTCAATTTAAATTCACGAAAACAGCAAGTGGGTCTTCAATGCTGTCTGGAAATCATATTATATTTCTCTACTCTATTCTCTGTCCCACTCTCCTAAGTGATTATTTTATTCTTTTCCTTTATCCTCAAACCCTAACGTTTGTTCTTCCATTTAAGGAGATATCTATAGCATTTCTCCCCTTTCCTCCTTTATCAAGTTTCTCTCTCTGTTGAATCATTTCACTCAGTATATGAACAGGGTTATTATTTACCTCCTAACTCCACCTACCACTCCATTTCATTCCTTCCATTAAGGGAAAAAACTTAAAGTGTTGTTTACACTTGTTATCACCAATTTTTCTTGTCCAGTTTTCTCTATAGGTCCTTACTTCACTGAAACCGCTTTGCAGGGTGACCAACAATTTTCATGTTGCTAAATTCAATGTTACTTCCTCAGTCCTCTTTTGCTTGGGCTATCAGCTGCATCTGACAATTTTCATTAAAACACATTGTTCCCTCAGTTTCCAGGATATCACCGAGTTTTCTCTCAATCATTCTAGCTGGTCCCTTTCAGTCTCTTTTGCTGATTCCTCCTCATTTCCCAGACTTTGTCATGTTGAAGTGACCCAAAGATTAGTCCTTTACCTCTATCATTTTCCAGCTACTCTACCAAGTGATCTCATCCAATCTGGTTGTAAATGTCACCTAAAAGGGGCTTCCTAGGTGGTATCGTGCCTGGGAATCTGCCTGCCAATGCAGGAGCAGCAGGAGTTCGATCCTTGGGTCAGGAATAGCCCCTGAAGTAGGAAATGGCAACCCATTCCAGTATTCTTGCCTGGAAAATTCCATGAACAAAGGAGCCTGGCGGGTTACAGTCCACGGGGTCACAAAGAATTGGAGATGACTGAGCACACATGCATGCACATGTGTATCACCTACATGCTAATAACTGCCAAGTGTATGTCTCCAATCTGAGACCTTTCTTTAGAACTGTAGACTTGTATATCCCACTGCCAACTTAATATTTCCACCTAAATACCCAATGGGCACCTCATACTTCACATGTAATATTCCAAACTGAAATCTCACTATTTCCCTATGCCCCAGGTTTTTCCTACCTTCTTTCCTTTCTCAGGTAATAACTCCAATCTTCAAATTGCTCAGATTAAAAAATACTGTGTCATCCTGTCACACTTATACACCACATCAGTTCTGTCAGAAAATTGCCATACATGACTACTTCTCACCATTTTTACTACTCTCATCCAGGTCACCAACATCTCTTCCCTAGATTAATGCAATAGTTTCCGAACTGGTCTTTCTACTTCTTCCCTTGTCCTTGTCCTCTTCCCCTAATCCTCTCCTCAGACCAACCAAAGCAATCCTCTTAAATCATAAGCAGATAATATCACACACATGTTCAAAACTCTCCCATAGCTTTCCACCTCATTCTGAGTAAAAGTCAAGATCATTAACATGGCCCACAAGGACCAACCTGATCTGGCCTCCGGCCCTTCAATTACCTTTCTTCTCTAATCTCTCACTACTCTCCCTCTTATCTGCTCTATTTCAGCCACCCTAGCCTCTTGGTAATAGGCATATTTCCACCTGGGCTTTTCTAACTGGTGGTCCCTCTTCCCTTAATTATATGCATGTGCTGTGCATAATTAGCTCCTAATTTCCTTCATATCATTATTATTACATTTTCAGGATGCATTTCTAGTTACCCCACCTAAAACTCCAAGTCCTATCCCTGATTCTACATATTCTCCTTCTTTACTTCTTAGAAATTTTCACTATGTAATATATGTTATATTAAATTTACTTACCTCACTTATTATCTGACCCACAACAATTTAAGTACCATGATAGCAGAATCTGTCTGCTTTGTTCAATGCTATATCTCAAGCATCTTTTAATTCCTGTCACATGCAGCATTCAATAAATGGTGAGTAGATGAATGAATAAATCCATAATACCTGAAGAACCTGGAAATTTGAAAACAGAATATTGCTTTAGAAAAATAACTTAGAAAACACATAATTTACAAAAAAAAATTGTTTTTAAAATGGTTGACTTCAATAGTAATCAAATAACTGCAAATTAAAGGAATTATTTTACATCTATGAGATTAACAAAGATTACTAATATTAATGATAAACACTGTTATCAAGGGTGTATAAATACAGGCAATCTAATACTATGCCAATAATACTATAGGTTAGATGGAACCTTCAGTTTTCAGTCGCTCAGCCATGTCCGACTCTGCGACCCCATGAATCACAGCACGCCAGGCCTCCCTGTCCATCACAAACTCCTGGAGTCCACTCAAACTCATGCCCATCGAGTCAGTGATGCCATCCAGCCATCTCATCCTCTGTCGTCCCCTTCTCCTCGTGCCCCCAATCCCTCCTAGCATCAGGGTCTTTTGCAAAGAGCCAACTCTTCGCATCAGGTGGCCAAAGTATTGGAGTTTCCGCTTCAGCATCAGTCCTTCCAATGAACACCCAGGACTTATCTCCTTCAGGATGGACTGGTTGGATCTCCTTGTAGTCCAAGGGACTCTCAAGAGTCTTCTCCAACACCACAGTTCAAAAGCATCAAATTTTTGGTGCTCAGCTTTCTTTACAGTCCAACTCTCACATCCATACATGACCACTGGAAAAACCACAGCCTTGACCATATGGAACCTTACCAGAGAATAACTGGATAGAATTAGGGAGTCTTTGGACTTCCCAGGTGGCGCTAGTGGTAAAGAATCCACCGGCCAATGCAGGTAGAACTAAGAGACACAGGTTAGATCCCTAGGTTGGGAAGACCCACCGGAGGAGGGCATGGTAACCCACTCCAGTATTCTTGCCTGGAGAATCCATGGGCAGAGGAGCCTGGCAGGCTGCAGTCCAAAGGATTGCACAGAGTCATGAAATGACTGAAGCGACTTAGCACAAACACAGGTAGTTTTTAATAAGCAGATACACTTCAACTGATCAGTTCCACTTCTAAGAGCCTGCCCCCTGTCCCCCGAAAATTAATAAAGTGCATCATAACATGTGCCAAACAGTTGCTAATAAACACATTCTTTACAATGGCAAGAAGTTGAAAAGAACCAAATTACCCATCAACAAGAGTAAATGCATTAATATGTATACCATAAAAAACCTGTTAAATGACATAGATGTGTGTTTAAATGTAAAAGTATTAATTGCACATTGTTAAACGCCATAGGTAGACTAGACAATTGTATGTACAGTGTGATTCCAACTTTCAAGCTACTGTGCATATATATGTAATATATTCACGGGGAATGAAAAGATGGGAAATAGATTTTGATAGTGGCTGGAAGAAGTATGAATGATTCTTGTTTTCTTGGAGCTTTTCTTTATTTTGTGAATTGGGACTGGGAGTAGGGGGCAAGGAGCATGAAGTTATTACTAAGCACACAAAATGTGGCGAATACACGAAAATGAAATTTGAAACAAATACTAAGACAACGTGTTGGGGCTACTGATGTCTAACAGAAAAACATATTTACGATGACCATAACCAAAGAAACGAAGCACTGGTACAGTCTCACAAATCACAAACAGGCTTCGTAGTTCGAAGCCACATTCATATGGAAAGAGAAAAGGAAAATAAATACACATCCACAAAATCCGCCTACACACACGACTCCACGGCCACATGAATCACGGACAAATGTCTAGAAAATAAAGTCCTATCGAGTCACACGCTCAGTTTTTCACCCTCCACTCCCACGTACTCAGGGAACCCGCCGCCCCTGCCCGGCGTCCTCCTCCAACAACACAGGCACCCGGTGGGCCGCAGGCCCCTGCTCCACCCAGCACAAAGAGTCCCGGACTCTGAGCTCGTGGCTTCCCGAAGACTCACCAACGAGCCCGCAGACACAGGCCCCAGTTCCACACCTCAACACCGCCCGAAAGGCACAGCCGGTGCGGCCCGAGTGAGGGGTGCCACTCAGGTCAGCGCCGACTGTGGCGGTGGGCAGCACCAGCCCAGGTCCGTTAGACGCAGCTAACTCTTCCCAGAGGCCCCCGCGGCTCGCCGAGGAGGGACTGGCCCTCCCGTTGTCGGGGTAACCGGAATGACCCACCGCACCATGGAGGGGCTCTCAGATCTGCCGAGGGACCTCAGCTGAGGGTTTTGCAGCAGCTGCCTCCCATAAGTCTGACACTCGGAGCCTGGGAGTGCTTACTTGGTGCTGAGGAGAATCTGAAAAGGTCCGCGGTTTTGCTGCCCAGAACTACATTTCCCAGAGGCCTCCTCGGTCCAAATCTATTTTCTGCAAAAAGTCGCTTGCTGCGTGCAGTTGGCTGTATCTTCGGCTTTTCGGCGTTATGGTGTATGGTCCGTGAAGGAAGCATCGCTGAGTCCGTTTAGTTCCGTCTGATCCCGGCCCCACCTGGGACTGGACTTCAGTGGGGTGAAGGTGGGAAAAGATCTGGGCGCCGTGACGAGAAGAGATGGGCCAGCCTGAGCCTCAAGCTCCTGGCGGCAGTCAGAGAAGGGAGGAGTGCCCTTGGGTGATCGAGTGTGGAAGATTTCTGCGGTGGAATTTGGGGTAGGGAGTCTAGCGGGTCGAGAGACGCTGAGGTCTAGTGATTTTGGAGTCGTGCGAATTTGAAAACATTAGTGTGACCATGGTCGTGTCGTCTGTTCTAGGGGTCTCTTGATTCTGACCCTGCAGTTTTTGAGAGACAGTGTGCTTGTGTTGTGTTTCTGTTTTTCTGACGGGCACCTGGTAAAACATTGAAACTTAAGTGATTAAGTCAACACCCCACAGTCACCAAAATATTAAATGGAAAAAAATCGTAGTTTTGTGAATGTGTATTGCTGGAAACTCCCTTACTTTTTTACACTGTGTTATTCCACATCCATGTGTGTTTTATGGACAAAGGTGATACAGGTAATTTAGAAAGATGTTGTTGAAGAAGGCAAAGACATTGAGACATCAAATGAAAGAGCATGTCAACAATTCAAAGTAGCCTTGACATGAGGAGTGAACGGTAGGTGGAAAAGAAGAGAAGTAACCAGGTGCAAAAACCTAAGAATCTAGCAAACCAGACTTTAATGTCACTCCTGCCATAAAGACCTGATTTTTTTTCAACATTTCATTTGAGTTCCACTCTGATTTAAGAATTAAAAAACAGTTTTCAATGAAAGTTGAAGACTCACTACAATAATTTTACAGTAGAGACTAAAATGGAGAAAATATCTATGAAAACACTATGCTTTTGTGCAATAGTATGTTGCCAAAGAGAACAGAATACTGAGGACTACAGCATGCTAAATATCAGGAACCTGAAGTTGTTGAAGGTATCAGAGAGGCTTCCAGCTCATAAGCTTACGTAAAGCTATACAAAGCCACAAAACTAAAGAACTATGTTATCTCTGGAAAGCAGAAAAAAATAGTCTTCCTTTCACAGCCTTCCTTTCACTAGATAATAACCAGCACTGTTTCAGAATAGTGTGAATCTCTTTCTGGAAAGGGTAAAGAGACTCCCAAACACTGCATAGAGAGAACATGTCCTCTAAGTGTTACTTATTTGCCTCATGTGTGTTTACCAGCAGTACATTTTTTCTGTCACCTGTAAGAGTTATTTTTTGCTAATTATTTTGTTAAAAGATGAGAAGAGAACAGAGTTGCTTCTATGTCCATCTAGCTTCCTGATTTCATTTTTTTTTTTCTGATTTCATTTTTTATACTTGTAGATTTGTCTATTTCTCCCTTTATTTCTGTAAAGCTTTGCTTTATATATTTTAAAGCTCTCTTGTTGATGATACATATTTAGAGTTGTACTAGCTTCCTGTTAAATTGATCCAATAAGAAATTATGTAATTTGTGACTTCCCTGATGGTCCAATGGGTAGGACACTGTGCTCCCAATGCAGGGCACCTGGGTTCGATCCCTGGTCAGGGAACTAGATCCTACATGCCACAACAAAGATCTGGCATAGCCAAATAAATATAAATACTTTTTAAAAAGAAATTATGCAGTTTACCCTTTATTTATAATATTGGTTTTTGTCTTAGTCTGTTTTGATATTACTATAGCTTCACCATGCTTCTTTTGGCTAGTGCATTATCTTTTTCTATGCTTTTACATTTAACTGTTTTATTTTTAAAGTATGTCTCATTAAATAATATTTATTTTTAAAATAAATGATAGTCTTACTCTTTTGACATATTTAGTAAATTTACATTTATAAAGCAGTTGGGTTTTGTTATACCACCTTAGAGTTTGTTTTCTTTTGGCCTGACTTTCTTAAATTTTAACTTTTTGTTTGGAAGTAATTCTGGATTCTCATGTGTGTGTGTGCGCGCGCGCAGGCACTCAGTGTGTCCAGCTCTTTTGTGACCCCATGGAGTATAGCCCGCCAGGCTCCTCTCTCCATGGGATTCTTCAGGCAAGAATATTTCCCAGGTGGCACAGTGGTAAAGAATCCACCTGCCAGTGCAAGAGTTTGCTAGAGTTATATCTCTGGGTCAGGAAGATCCCCTGGAGGAGGATATGGCAACCCACTCCAGTATTCTGGATTCTCATGTAATTTTAAAAAATAATTCAGGGAGATCCCATATACCTTTTATCCAATGTCCCCCAGTGGTAACATCTTGCAATACTATATACAGAATCAGAACACTGACATTGATACTCTCAAAATACTTCCATCATCATAAGAATCTTTCATGTTGTCCTTCTATAGCCACATTTCTCTCTTTCCTGAAACCCTCTCCTTAAGACCTGGCAACCCTAATCTGTTCTCCATTTCTGTAATTTTACCTTTCAAGAATGTTACATAAATGAAATTATAAAGTATGTAATTGGAGTACTGACTTTTTCACTCAGCATGATTCCCTGGAGATTCATACATGTTGTTACATGTGTAATTCATTCCTTTTTATCACTGAGTAGAATTCCATGTGAACATACTATAGTTTGTTTAGCCATTCATTCATGGAAGGACATATGGCTTTTTCCAACTTTTGTCTGTTACAACTAAAGCTGCTATATAAATTCATATAGAATTTTTTTTCATTTCAAACACCAAGAAGAGTTTTAGAAGGAATTTGTTCATTCGCTAAAATATCTATCTGGCATTTTCACTGAGATTATATTCAATATATAGATAAATCGGGGAGAATTGACATCCTTATAGTGGTGAATCTCATAACTATGCAACACAATATGAACATAATATATCTCTTCTTAAATTCCTCTCAGTAATGTTTTGTATTTTTAAGGTACAGGTAACAAAATCTTTTGTCAGGTCTACCCCTAAGTATTTCAGAGTTTTTGATGCATTTTAATTGGTATTTTTTAAAATTTCAATTTCCAACTGTATGTAAGAAATACAATTGATTTTTGTATCTTGTAGCTTGACACCTTGCTAAACTCACTTAGTATTTCTACTAGAGTACTTAGAGGTTCCATTGAATTTTCTACAGAGATGATTATGTCACCTGTGAAAAAAGACATTGGTGTCTACTCCTGTTAAAATCGGCAAATACAGAATGGACCCCAACCCCAAATTTGGTTAGGATGTTGAGACGGATGAGGCCGCACGCACACACCAAGAAGATATGAACATTTTCTCACTCACACAATGAAGCTTTCTAGGAAAAGCAAAGCAGGCATCCCAAGAAAGTCTGCAAATGGCTTGTGAAAGGAAAGGAAACTCGTGTGGAGTGTTTATGGCAGAGGCTTGTGTGGTTTAAGTCTCCTGCTAGTGTCAAAGGAGAGAGCACCTAGTTGGCCCAGCTTGGGGATATAAGAAAAAGAAGAAGGAGTGAAGCTCAAAGCTACGAGCAGCTTCTGCTGCTGCTCCTGAGGCTGCTTGTGTGGGTGTTTGGTGTGGATCCAGTGAAGCAGCAGCTGAGGAGACTCTAATTCTCGCCATAGCTGACAAAAAGGCCGAGTGGGGAGCCAAGGCTGAGAACAATGATCATGTTAATTTGAAGGTGGCAGGTGGTGCACTTTAAGAAGCATAGGGACTTCCTCAGTGGTTCAGTGATTAAGAATCCGCCTTGCAATGGGAAGGATGAAGGTTTGATCCCTGGTTAGGGAACTAAGATCCCACATGCTGTGGAGCAACTAAGCCTGCCAGCCACAACTAAAAAGTTCATTTGCCCACAACTAAATCTTGATGCAGCCAGATAAACAGAGAAGTATTTTTTTTTAAAGGACTAAGAGGCATACAACCATTTAGTAAACTAATGAAAGTCTATAGTGAACAACTGAGTTTGTCAATAAGGCAGATCAGAATACGATTTGATGGGCAGCCAATCAATGAGACACACTCACCTACACAGTTGGAAATGAAGGATGAAGATACAATTGGTATGTTCCAGCAACAGAGAGGTGTCTACTAAAACAGAATCTTGAAAAAAAAAATAAAGGATATAAGCATTCACTGTTACCAAAAAAAATAAAATAAAATAAAACAGAATCCTGCTACTTTACTCCAAAATTCTGTTCCTACCTACCAAGAGGACATTCTCAATTAGAAAAATGCAATTTGGCTCTACTATATCCTGACTACTGCAGTACAGTTTTATCTAGTCTTTCATTTTCCTCTTCTCCATTTCTTTATTGTATATACAGTAACTGGTATATGCATAAATATATCACTTTTTTAAAAACTAAATCATGGCCAATGGTATGTCTTGATTGACACCAAATGGAAATTGGATGGGGGATATTACATTACTTCCCATAGAATACTGTAACCTTTACAATAGTTTATTTCTATTTACTTCTCTTCTCCTGGCCTTTGTGCTATTGTTGTCATACAATTTGCTTCTATATCTGTTAATTTATGTATTAAGAATATATAAAACCATGACTACATTGTTTTTATTTTTGCTTAAATAGTACTTTGTATTTTTGCAAGAATTAAATAATAAAATACTGGGACTTCTCTGATAGTCCAGTGGCTAAGGCTCTGAACTCCCAATGCAGGGGCAAGGATTCAATTCCCGGTCAGGGAACTAGATCCCACATGCCACAACAAAAACATGGGGCAGCCTAAATAAATAAATAAATATTAAAAAAGAAAATAGTATTATGTGTTAACCCTGTAGTTTCCATATTTGGTACTCTTCACTGCTTTGTGTTGATCCAGATATCACTTTGTTATCCAAATACACATATAATAGGTCTCTTGAATTTGCCCTTCTACTCTGATTTTTGATTTTCCATTTTTAAAGCTAATTTTTTCTTCTGGGTCTATCCCAGTACAACAAACAGCAACAGCATCTGGCACACAATAGGTGCTTTCTAATCACATACCACCAAGCAGAATTCCTTGCACAAACCCACATCCATTAGCCTAGTCCTCACCATTTCTCTTGTACTATCATACCACACTCTTCCTCCACTCTCCACCAGTCACTTTCTATTATAGCACATTCTCACAGCATCACAAATGTCACACACAATAACACAATCACACACATGGTCACAGAAATGCACCATGTTCACCCCACTGACACACAGAGTTTTGCATTTTTGTCAACAAAGGTCTGTCTAGTCAAGGCTATGGTTTTTCCAGTATGTAAGGATGTGAGAGTTGGACTATAAAGAAAGACGAGTCCTGAAGAACTGATGCTTTTGAACTGTGGTGTTGGAAAGGGCTCTTGAGAGTCCCTTCGACTGCAAGGAGATCCAGCCAGTCCATCCTAAAGGAGATCGGTCCTGGGTGTTCACTGGAAGGACTGATGTTGAAGCTGAAACTCCAATACTCTGGCCACCTGATATAAAGAGCCAATTCATTGGAAAAGGGTTGTGAAAACATCTTTCCCTGATCTTGGGAAAGAATGAAGGCAGGAAGAGAAGGGGGTGGCAGAAGATGAGATGGTTGGGTAGCATCACCGACTCAATGGACATGAGCTTGAGCAAACTCTGGAAGATGGTGCAGTCCATGGGGTCAGAAAGAGTCAGACAGAACTTAGCAACTGATCAACAACACTACACAAATAAACTGTGTTCCATCTAAAGCATAATACTAAAAAAGAAATTTCAAAGGGTAAGATAAAAATATAGAAAAACTGAGCTCTAATAATTTCTTCCCATACTCCAAAGGAAGGTTATATCTGTCCCAAGAATTTGGAAATTTATCTTGGAGATCACCATACTTCTATGGAAATTATTTTGAGACAAAGGCAAACAGAATAGACTTGGTATAGCTCCCAGCAACGTGAATGACACAGAGTACATGCTCAGTAAATACTGGTCCATCACAGATTTTAGAAAACCTGCCTCTACACACACACTTCTCTCTACACACACATGTATGCACAAAGTAAGCTCTCAGTTCAGTCTTTCTTCCTCTTCAATCCCCAGCTTCCCCCCGCTCCCCCAGAACAGATGGTGCTCCACTTTACTTCCACATCACACAGTTGTTCATGAACTCTGCTCCTCTCTGCTAAAAGCCCTTTCTCCATGGTCATCANGCAGGTATGGGGGCGGGGAAGAAGTGTAATCAGGTAAGTCCTCTTGAGATACCATTTGTATCTGAATGTAGGGAGTAAAGAAACTTTGAAGATACCCGACAGAGGAGCCGCTTTAGGAAGAGGGGACACATTCACATCCACCATCACTAAATCACAAATTCAGGAATCATATGCAAAAGATGACACTCTACCCTGACCTCTCCACTCCTGTCTTCAAGGTAAACCATTCCCTGAGAAAGAACGCCCTGGGGAAGGAGGGGCTGGGTGAAGCACAACGTACCTGCGCATTCCATTCCCAACTGCCCATTCACACTTTCTTCAGGTCCCCCAGCTCAAATAGAGGAACTCACTCCTCACGCGCTTTGTGGAGGCGCGCGTGCACTAGAGCGCGCCCACTTCGCTCCCCCCGCCCCGCCCCGGCCCCTGAGGCTAACAAGCGGTTTGTAATTCTCTGACGCGTTGCTAAGGAAGGTGGACCGATCCCTTATGCCTGCGCCCTTCAATCTCGACCGTTTAGGGTGACGCTCGACGCAGTCTCTGTGGAGGACCCAGCCTCAGAGCTGAGAGGAATCGATCGAGACGTCCAGGCTCCTCCTTCAAGTCCAGGGAGAGGTCCGCTTGGCAAAAGCTGGGGCAGAAAAGGTGGTGGTACAAACTCCCGGGGCAGTTGAACTCCAGGGCGCCGAGGCTTCTTCTGGTCAGGACTACATTTCCCAGTGGCCCCCACGAGCACTGGGCCCGTTGCCCCTTTGTGTCCTCCGGAGGCCGAGTCGCCTCTTTCCGGGCCCGCGGAGGCTGGGTTCCATCGATTCAGGCCGGGAGGTGGGCCCGAGGAGAGGTTACGCGAGCCTTCCGGGCTGGGACCTGGTTTTCCGGCAGTTCGGTTCTGCAGGTAGGAAGGAAGCGGGTCACCCGGACGTTGGCCCCCTGGCTTTCTGTGTGACTCTTCGTGTGAGACGGTGGTTGTTACCTTACGGTGTGTGAGCCTGTCACCCGCGGTGCCTGTACACATCATATCTATGTGACTCTGTGTGTGCGAGTGAACGATGGTTGGTGCCACAGAGAGTGAGACTGAGTTGAGGAAGAAGGATAGTTTCTGCCTCTCTTTTTCCTCTGCCCTCGGCTTCTTTGTGACTGGAGTGTGTGAGTGAGACCATCACAGTATTTGCGACTAGGGGCTATGGATGAGGGTGACGGTGAAACTGCCGGTACCCATGGCTGCTGTGATCTGTGCAAGATGGTGGTTGGCGCTGTAGTTTTTAAGAATCTGTGAGTGTGTGTGTGTGTGTGTGTGTGTGTGTGTGTGTGTTTAGGAACAGGGGGACCAGATGAGACTCTTCTGCCACCAATATCTATTAAAGCTGGCCAGGTGATGCCAGTGTGCCACCAGGTTTCAGAACCCGCTGACCTAGGAATTCCCTGTTGGTCTTGTGGTTAGGACTACATGCTTTCACTGCCTTGGCCAGGGTTCAACCCCTGGTCAGGGAACTAAGATCTCCCAAACCACGCAGTGGTGGGGAGACAGAATCACTTACCTACTGGAGAGGAGAAGGAAAGTGGAGTCATAAAGACCTTTATTTGATCTTGATACTGTTATTTATTAGCTGTGTCTTTATGCAAATGGTTGCATCACTTGGAGTTTTTAATTGTAAAATCTGGAACATTTCTTGTTAAAATAATGAATTAGGAAGTGATTTGGGCACAGGTTAAATTCTTTGCAAGCAGATTCCTAGGTCTCCATTATGCTTTCTAGTGGAGCGAAGAGTGCAACAGAGGAATGAAAAGCAGAGAAATTCTCAGCTGATGATTGTGGATGCTGCAAGGAAAGCCTAGTTTCTCATGTTCTCTTCCCCATCTCACTCATCTAAGGATACTGCCATTCCCCAGGAGAAGAGTCAAGGGGACTAAAGAATGGCTGTTGGACTTCTTAAAGCCATGTACCAGGTGAGTTGGTGTTTTCTCTTTCCTGAAATATTTTCCTCCTTTTTCAAGACAGGCAGACATTAATTTTCCTTCTGCTGAAACTTCTGGGTGACCAATCATGTCACTTCTTAAAACTCTCCAGTGGATTCCCACCTCATTCTGGACAAATGCTGAAGTCTTTGCCTTGACCTACAAGGCCCTACATAATCTGGTCCCTGGCTATCCCTGTGACCTCATATAATTTTTCTGACTCTGTATTTCACTCAGTTGCAGCCATGCTAACTTCTTTGCAGTGAACTGAGTACATTCTGGACTCATGGCCTTGCACTTACTGTTCCCTCTGACTAAAATGCTGTTCCCCTAGAAACAGAATAATTTCTTCATTCTAGTCTCCATCCAGATGTTCATTCATTCAACAAACTTTTTACTAAGTACCTGTTAACTAACAGGGCTTCTTTGCTGCTCTATCTGCACTCACTCCTTTGTTGATTGCACCCTGTCTTACAGCTTTACATACCATCTATATGCCAACAACTACCAAACTGTATACAGCCCAGAACTCTCTCCAGAAATCCAGACTCATGTATCCAGCTATCCACTCAGCATCTTCATTTGATTGTGGAATGGATACCTCAAATTCAGATTTCTCAAACTGAGTGAAATGAGCCATTGGAAGTTTTGGAGCATAGGAATGGCATGATCTGATTCCTATTTAATAGGATCACTGGCTGCTATTGAAAAAAAACTGAATCGGACGAGGATAGAAACAGGAAAACCAATTAGAAATTTCTTACACACTTCCCATCTAAGATGTTCAAGCTAAAAGTCTTCCATCAGGAAATTGTTTGTCCTACCTTCAAAATATATCCAGAACCTGACCTCTTTTTACTACCACCAGTTTCCATTCTGATGTAAACTATCATTCCTCACCTGGATTAATGCTATATGCTCTCTTAACTTGTCCCTCTACTTCCACCCATACTGTCTTTAGTCTGTTCTCAACAGAGCAGCCACAGTGTTCCTGTTACACATCACATTATGTCATTCAGGACAGGGAGAGAAGTAAAGAAAAGTATAGACAGCTCTTTCACATAGTTTAGCTGTAAGGAAAGAAGAGAAATAGGTGGTAATTGGAGGAAAAACTATAGTCAAAAAGGTTTTTTAAGGACAGGTATGTGTCCGGGCTGATTTAAAGATGCAGCAGAAAGGGAAATTGAAGATGAAGAGGAGAGAGGAGGGAATTGCTGGAAGACTGTGCTTGAGTAGCTGAGAGGATTTGACGTCTAGGATACAAATGGAAGGGTTGACCTTTGCTAGGTAAGAGGGCTGTTCATTTACAGTAATAGGATCAAGTTAGAGTATATGGGCCAGGAACTTCCCTGGCAGTCCAGTGGTTAAGACTTTGCCTTCCATGCAGGGGGTATGGATTGCACCTCTGATTGGGGAGCTAAGATCCCACATGCCTTGCGGCCAAAAAACCAACACATAAAACAGAAGTAGTATTGTAACAAATGCAATAAAGATTAAAAAGAGAGAGATTTAAAAAAGAGAGAGTATATGGCCCACATGCAAGTAAATGTGTAGATGTTGTGGGAATTTGTGGAAATCCTCTTAAAATGGCTTTTGCTTTTTTTCCAGTGAAACAAAGCAAGATTTTTAGCTGAACGTAAGGATGGAGGGATTGACGATGTGAGGAGAGGGAAGAAAGTATTAAATGGTCATTTGGGAGGGTGGGGGAAATGAATGGACTAGAGAATTGTATCATGTAGGTAGATAGAAGTGTATTATTGTGGTTCATTTGAAGTTAGTGATCATGAATTTAAAATGAGACCAATTAGAATGATTTCTCTAAAAAAATTAAGGTGTGCAGGGTACAGAAACCAAGTATGCTCAGTGATGGCTGTGGCCCAGATGAGTATAGTTAAGTGAAAAGGGGGCAGAGAAGTTGAGGATATTTGCCTGGGTATGATTATAACAAATGGTTGGTCTAGAATGTGAGGGTATGTGGGAATGAAGAGCAGTGAAAATGTAAAATTAATGATTTGTAGGTTCTAGTGGGGTCAAAGAATGATCCTAATTAGGGTATGCATGTTAAGTCACTTCAGTCCTGTCCTACTCTTTGTGACCCCATAGACTATAGCCCACCAGGCTCCTCTTGAAAGGTTGTTGCTGAACGATAAGACGCTGGGATTCTTGGCCTCCAGAGGAGACGAATTCAATCCAGGGCCAGAGACGAGGCTGGATCGCTCAGAGCTTTTGTGTAATAAAGTTTTATTAAAGTATAAAGGAGATAGAGGAAGCTTCTGACATAGGCATCAGCGGGGGCAGAACGAGTACCCCCCTGCTAGTCTTCAGGTGGATGTTATATAGTCACTAACAGTCTGTTAATGAAAAGAAAGGAATGTCTTAAAATTCAGAATGGCACCAGATAATTCATCCCAGGCCATAAAACGGTTGACTTGAATCTTGTAGAAGGGCAGATTACCACACAAATAGTTTTGTTTACATAGATTAGGGGAACAATATCTGAGTAAAACATACAGGTTTTTCATGTAGGTTCTGAGCCATTTGAACTTGAAGACAGAGTCTGGGGTACATTAACATAGCTTAAGACAAACATTTCCATAAGAAAAAATGTATTGGTTAACTCAAGGTTTGAGAATAGTTAGCTTCAGGTGAAACCAGGTGTCATGGCAACACAGCATTTTAAGAGAAACCTTGTTTTAAATTTGTGTAGAGAAGGAAAAAAAAATATCACCAGTTTGTTTCCTCCTGCTGCTTAAGAGAGATAAAAATGACTGGCACTTGCAGCCTATTTCCTCCATTTGGAGACCCTGGCCTTCCTGCCTGTTACCCTCTCACTCTGTCCATGGGATTCTCCCGGCAAGAATACTGGAATGGATTACTATGCCTTCCTCCAAGCGATCTTCCCAACCCAGAGCTTGAACCCATGTCTCTTATGTCTCCTGCATTGGCAGGTGGGTTCTTTACCACTAGTGCCACTGGGAAGCCCATCCTGATTAGGGTACCGGGGGAAAAAATTGCAATATAGGAGGTAAAAGTGAGAGTAGGAGAACTGAGATTATGGGGGGTTTGGTACTAACTGATAATGACAAGGTCTAGGGCATGATCATGAAAGTGACTGTAGAAGTGTGGAAGACAAGTTTATTGGAGAAGGTGGGGTCAGAGAACTGAGAGACCAGGTTGTTGGAAGGGTTATTTATATGAATATTGAAGTGACCAAAGATTATGTGTAATGGGAGTAGCATTGAAGAAAGTGACAATGAGACAAGATACTAAAGTGTTCAAGGAATGACAGAGAATTGGTATCTACCAGAAACTGGTAGTTAATTAAAAGAAGAAGGGATTATACACAGCTACAGCCTGATTTCATGAGATGGAAAACTAGGTATATTTTAGGGAAGAGGGTGGACAGTAGTCTGAAAGCAGGTATAAGGAGCTAAGAGGTCACTTACCTCAGCTCCACATGCTATAGTACAAGGGATGTGAGAAATAAATCAGTCAGTACATGACAAGGCCTCAGGGGAAGTTGTCTTCTCTGCTGAGAATGATGTGTCTGTAAGGCAAAAAGGTCAAGGGAACTGTTTCTTCAGATGGGTTTGATTATAATTATGAATGGATTTTGAAACCAAGTATTTGGTTAGAGGTCAAATATTTTCAGAGGTTCTTTGTTAGTGGTCAGATATTTGAAGGTTAGAATTTAAGCTCCTTGTATTGACACTGTAATTATTTTCATTGACTGTATAAATGAAGGACTCAGTGAAGAATATGTGTATCATATATAAAAAATTTATGTGCTTATTATACATATCTATGTAAGCTAAGGAAAACATTTTTGGAAGCATGTATATGACCAAACCAAACAGGAACATTTCTGCAATATATTAGGGATATTATTGCTCGGTCAAAGAGGGAGAAATTCACAAACTACTTCATAAAAAAAAGTTACTGAGTGTTGAAAAACACTTTAAGAATACTTAATTTTCTTGCTCAGTCGCTAAGTTGTGTCCAACTTTTTGTGACCCCACGGGCTGCAGCACACCAAGCTTCTCTGTCCTTCACTATCTCCCAGCGTTTGTTCAAACTTTATTTTGTAGATAGTTTTTTTAACTATGACAAAATTAAATAAAATGCCCAATAAAATAATCTTCTTGGTTTGACAGATTCACCTCTTTTAATTTTGTAAAAAAAAACCCAGAAAATAATTTACATGTGTGTATGTACTCCCACACACAAACACAGTATGTATATTAGTTTTCATTAGATGGTCACATTACGGAAACCTGGAATCCAGCTGAATCATAGCATAACTCCAGGTTTTTAAGAACTTTGCTTAGCGCATGTAGGCCAAAATAGTATTATAAATGGAAGACTCATTTTTTTTTTTAAATAAAAAGTTTTATTGGAGAAAAATAGAACCACCATGTACACAGGGAAATGAGCACAAAAATTCAACTGATACAGAACTGAAAGTCACAACTACCCAATGTTGTTTGTGATTACTTTTCAATTTCTTAAATGGCTTCCCGCAATTTTTTAAATAGTCTTGCCAATTTTTTTCAGCTGAAATAGCATCAAGTTTTCAAAAAATTAAGAGCCTCAGCAAAGGGACCAGCTTTTAAGATAACAAAGGTGACACCAAGAGTCTCCTAATAGGACCAATTCTACCAAAAAATTCCTGAAGCACATAACTACTGAGTCTGGTAGAACAGTAGCTCAGAGACCATCAGGGATTAGTTAGAACACTGACTCAGATGGTCCAGTATGCAGAGAGGGCAAACAAAAAAACTGCATTTCCCTGTCAGATGAGTTCATGTAAGAAAACCAAGGAGATGCTAAGAAAATGCAGGCAATGGCTGCTCAAAATAATTAAGAAGGCATTCTAAATACCGCATATTATTAGACAACAGTGTGTAGAGTGATGCAATTAGAAAATGGGCAACTTAAAAATATGGTCACAGGTCTTTGAGAACTCAGGAAAACAATCAATAGCAAACACAAGAGCTGAAAGTCTTCTCAGCTGAAGGGTGAAAGTGAAAGTGAAGTTGCTCAGTTGTATCCAACTCTTTACGGTGGACTGTAGCCCACCAGGCTCCTCAGTCCATGGGACTCTCCAGGCAAGAATACTGGAGTGGGTTGCCATTTCCTTCTCCAGGAAGATTCATTTCTTTACACAAAATTTTAAGTATTCTGGATTAAAGTATTTGCATTTTAATGGAATTGATGATTTGTTTTGCTTGGTATAATACAATTTTGGGAGATACAGTAAGCACTTTATGGTCTCATTTTACATCCTCTTATAGCTTCTTGACTTTTACAAAACATTCATTCATTAATTCAGTTTATTCAGCAAATATTTGAATAAGCCTCATGTGTGCCAGATACTATTCTGTAGCTGGGATATAGCAGTGACCAAAACAAAAACATACTCTGCTCTCATGGACTTTATAGTTTAGTGGAGGTGGGGAGCAGACAATAAATAACAGAATAATTAAGTACCATGGTTAAAAATAAGCAGGGTTAGGGGAATAGGGAACTGGGATAAGAACATTGCTGTTTTTATACAGAATGGTCTGAGAAATACAAAAGCCCTGGGGGGAACATTCTGCACATCTGAAGGTGTATCTGGGAGCCCCATGTGCCTGGGACAGAATGAATGAGGTGAGTATGGGAAGAGATAAGGTTATTTCATTTCATTTCAGGAGTTGGTGACCTTCAGAGATGTGGCTGTAGACTTCTCCCAAGAGGAGTGGGATTGCCTAAATCCTTCTCAAAGGCATCTGTACAGTAATGTGATGTTGGAGAACTACAGGATCTTGGTATCACTGGGTAAGAATGTCTTTTGTAAAACTGAGCTTCTACTCATAGAGTATTGTGATTTTGGGGGTTAGCATCTGTAGTGCTTGGTTGAATGTCTGCTGCCTGTGCCAAAGTAACAGGTTAATATTTGTGAATTGGCAGTGAATGGGTCTGTTATTAATCTGTGTTGGAAGTTTCAGCTTCCCTGTCCATTGTATGCATGTCCTCATCACATTTTTCTCTGGCTTACTTTAAGCTCCCTCTTCCCCAGTGATCAAATAATTGGATGTGAGTTCTCAGTTATCTACAGCATGACCAAATTTGGTTTCTTTTCATATACGCAGGACTTTGCTTTTCTAAACCAAGTGTGATATTATTGTTGGAACAAGGGAAGGAGCCCTGGATGGCGAAGAGAGAGATGACAAAAGACTTGTACTCAGGTGAGTAAAGAGGAAATAGGCAGGCAAAAACCTTTGCAGGGTACAGCCCAGCTTGACTCAAAGGTAGCACCTCTTCACTCTGTTGTTGGCATGTTCCTCTCAAATGTTCTAGGTCTTAGTAGAAACTTGAGTCCTTTGAGGTTGTTCTCCGAAAGCTGATAGTCTGAAATGTCTCTCCTTGCCCACTTTACCCCCTCTTTTCTGAGTCCCCTTACTTTTCCAGTTTCATAAGCATCTTCCAGCCTTTTTGTTCTGCCTTGTTTTAATTTTGGCTGAGCTGGGTCCTTTTGCAGCACACATGCTTTCTCTAGTTTCGGCTCAAGAGCTTCCCTTGTTGCAGTGCACAGGCTTCTCCTTGTGGTATGTGGGTTTCTCTTGTTTCCGAGCTTGGGCCCAAGAGCTTGGGGGCCCAGTAGTGGTGGCGCGTGGGCTTAGCTGCTTCGCAGCCTATGGAATCTTTGCATCCATTGAATTGGAATGCAGATTCTTAACCACTGGACCACAAGGGAAGTCCCCTCTTCCAGTCTTTACCAAGCTCAGGTACACAAGCCTCCCTCAGCCCTGTGTCTGGCCCTCCATATTCTGTCTGCCTGAAATTTCAAAATAAAGCTTTCAACATCCAAAGGAAAAAAAAAAAAAGAATATTTTCTTAATCTGATGACCTTTTGAGCTCTATGCACAACTGTAACTAAAGTAACAAGTTCATACCCTGACACCTACATGAAGTGAAAATTTGAGCAACTGACTTAATCTCTCTGTGCTTTTGTTTTCTCATCTGTAAACTAGGATAGTATTTTTAAAGTACTTTCAGCAGTTCCTATCTCATATTGTAAGCTCAAAAGCTGTTAGTTACTAGTATTATAATAGTAGTAATTTATCTCTGAATGCCTCATTTTTCTCTTAATGGTCAGTTCATTCATTCTTTTAATCAAGATTATTGAATTTGTACTTTAAACAGGGTACTTGCAAGATGCTAAGGTGTTATACAAAAATGTAAAAAATCAAATAATTGATAGGCTTATAGAAGAAATACAATATAGCTGTAAACAGCATATATAAAAAGAAAGCTGATATAAAGGAAACTCAGAGAGAGGTGAGAGAGGAATCTGGTTAATTGAGAAGATAGTCTTTAACAAAAACACAGGTTAGAAACTAGAAAACATTTAAGAGAGAAGAGGTGAAAAATTTAAGAGAGAAGAGGTTAAGAGTTTAGCTTTGTGGTATAGGAAGGATTTTCATACAAACATAGGATGCATTCAGGTAAAATGGAAGACTAAAGTTCAGAAGAAAATTAGGGTCCCTGTAAACATCTCTGTCAATACTAGTCCCCATCTCATTCCACCCCCATCTCAACTACCTCTCCCCAAACTTTTATGTTCTTGTTCAGATTTCTAAGAAAAAATTTTGATGTGGAACTGTAGTGTCAAAGAAGACATGGCTAAATTTTATTAATTACTATTATTAAATATAAATTACACACACATAAATATATATCAGCCTAAATATGTAGTTTAAGTAATAACATAACAAAAAATGAACCTATTTCTTAACTTGAGAAATAGAAGATTATCAGTGCCATTTTAGGCCTTTGAAGGTCCCTTCTTAGTGAAGTATCGCTCCCTACCTTTGGCCCATCCCTACCCCTCATTAGGGTAACCATTATCCTACAACTTTGCTTATCATTTCTTGACTTTTCTTTGTAGTTTTGCCATATATATCCCTAAGCAAAATATTTATATTTGCATATTTTCAATTTCTTATGAAAATGGAAATACATTGTGCTGGTAATTCTGACTTTTTCAACTCAAAATTATTTTTCTCCGATTCTTCTATATTGATTTTAGTCACTATTTTTCATTGAATTTTTTTCTTGGTGAAATGTAATATATTCCACTGTGAAAATCATAATTTATCCACTAAAGGGCATTTGAATTGTTTCAGTCTTCTGTTATTATAAATGTTACTGCTATGAACCTTATTACATGTGACTGATGGTGCACATATGCTGGAGTTCATGTAGAGAATATAGCCAGGAATTTACTGCATAATGCGACTTTACTTTCCAGATTATTTGTACTAACTTACGTTGCTGATAGCTGTGTGTGAGAGAATTCACTGCTCCATACTGAGAATTAACAAATTTAAAATTTTTTGCAAATTTGACATATGTGAAATATTTACTTATACTTGTCATCTGAATTTCCTTGATTACTAAAAAATATTTGGCATCTTTTTATATTTATAAAAGGCTATTTTGATTTCCTCTTCTGTTAAGTGCCTGCTCAGTCCTTTGTTCAGTTTTAGAGATATATATATTTTTATGAGGTATTGTTGATGTACATATATTTCAGGTATATGACATAGTGATTCAGTATTTTTATAGATTATACTTCATTTAAAGTTATTGTAAAATATTGGCTGTCCTCCCTGTGCTATACAATATATCCTTGTTGCTTTTATTTATTTATTTGGCCACACTATGCAACTGGTGGGATCTTAGTTCCCCAATCAGGGTTCAAACCTGGGCCTATGGTAGTGAAAGACAAATCTTACACTCCCAGTATGTCATATCTTTATCCATTCATCTGTTAATGAACAGTTAGGCTGTTGTAAACAATGCTGCTATGAACACTGAGGTGCTTGTATCTTTTTGAATTAATGTTTTCATTTTCTTTGGATATATACCCAGAAATGGAATTACTAGATCATATGGTAGTCTTCTGATCATATTTAGTTTTCTGAGGAACCTCTGTACTGTTTTCCACAGTGGCTGTACCAATTTACATCCCTACCAACAGTGTAGGAGGGTTCCATTTTCTTCACATTCTCACCATCATTTGTTATTTCTGGTCTTTTTAATGATGACCATTCTGACAGGTATGAGATGATATCTCATTGTAGTTTTGATTTGTGTAGCCTATGATTTTTGATATTTTAAGAAACCTTTCTGTATTCTGAAGTCATATGGGTATTCTCAAACTGTCCTCTAAAGAATCTTCTTTACATTTAGTGCCACAGTCCAAAAATTGATTTTTGAGATTGAAGTATTTAATTTCTACTCCTATGGAAAATCAAGTGTCCTAGACATTTACTGAAGAAGTGAGCTTTCTTTGCTTATTGTCCTGAATGTTCCCTTTTAATATATCAGGTTATATTGGGTTGGCCAAAATTTTCGTTTGGATTTTTAGTAAGATGCTACAGAAAACCCAAATGAACTTTTTGGCCAACCTAATAGTATATTTATGAATCTGATTTTGACCTCTGTTGCATTCCATTGATTCTGTTTCCTTTCGCCAGTACCACACTATTTTTTTTTAATTTATATATTTTTAATTGGAGGATAATTTCTTTATAGTATTGTGTTGGTTTCTGCCATATATCAGTGTGAATCAGCCATAGGTATACGTATGTCCCCTCTCTCTTGAAAGTACCACACTATCTTAAAAAAATATTTTAATGTAAAAACTGAATATTTGTTAGAGTAAAGCCCTGTACCTTTATTGTTCTTCAGAATTTGCCCTTTGGACATCTAACTGAAGTTTAGGTCAGCTTGTCAGTTTCCACCAGAAAACAACAAAAAGCTATTGGGTTTTGGTTTAAATTTTATTTATTGTACATACTGATTTTTTTTTCCATTTGTAAACATAGTTTATTTTTCCATTTACTTAGATTTTTAAATTCTTTCAATGTGTTTTATAATTTTCTCTATAAAGGCTACACACATCTTCTATTAGATTAATTTCTAGACATTTAAATTTTGTTCTGTGTTAAACGTTCTCTGTGTTTTCAGTTTGTTGCTCATACACAGAAATAAAGTTAACTTTTATATTTTGACCTTATATCTAGCAACACTGGAAAACTCACATTACTATTAGTATTTTTAGATTTCCTTTTCTTTTTCTGTGGGTGGGTATGTCTGAGAATAATGGCAGTTTCTTCACTTTAAATTCTTAATCCTTAATTTCTTTTTTCTATTATCCTTAGATCACCAATACAGTATGAATCAAAGTAGTGATGGCAGGTATTTTTATCAATTTCTGGTCTCAACTGAAGTGCTTTGTATATGCTAAGTCACTTCAGTTGTGTCCGACTCTTTGCGACCTTATGAATTATAAGCCCACGAGGCTCCTCTGTCCATGGGGATTCTCCAGGCAAGAATACTAGAGTAGGTTGCCACGCTGTCCTCCAGGGGATCTTCCCAACCCAGGAATTGAACCCACGTCTCCTGCATTGGCAGGCAGGTTCTTTACCACTGCGCCACCTAGGAAGTGCTGTAATATTTTGTTATTAATAATTCTGATGTTTAAAGGTTTCTGGTAGATACCCTTTCATTACCATTTGTTAAGAGTTTTGATTGTAGAAAGCTTTTGAATTTCAATAAATGTTTTTCTATATCTGTAGGTGATTAGATGATGTTTTCTTTCTTATGTAGTGAATTATATTTTTAATGTTGAACCCATCTTGTATTCCTAAGACAGACCTATCTTTATCGTTTCCATTCATAGCTAGTTGCTATCTGCCAATATTTTCTTTAGGTTTTTTGCATCTGTGTTTGTCAGTGAGGTTGGCCTTCAATTTTCCTTTTGTGTACTCCTCGTCAGATCTTAGAATCAAAGTTGTCCTAATATCATAAAATCTTTTTCTTCCTTAGAAGATTTTGAGTAAAATAAATGTTTGTTTTTGGATGTCTGGTAGAACTTTGTTCATGTTGGCCTGGTATTTTTTATGTATGAAAAGAATTTAATAATTTCTGTTATAAGAATCTATGTTTTATTTCTCCTATAGTTGTGGAGTTATGGTATTTTTCTAAAGATTTATACTTCTCATGTAAGTTTTCAAATTTACTAAAGTTATTATTTTCTCTTATCTAAAGTTGGTAGTATATGTAACCATTGGAGAAGGCAGTGGCACCCCGCTGCAGTCCTCTTGCCTGGAAAATGCCATGGACGGAGGAGCCTGGTGGCTGCAGTCCATGGGGTCTCTGAGTTGGACACGACTGA